TTTAAAAAAAAAAAAAAAAAAAAAAGTATAAAAGATGAATAATGAATTATAAATGCAACAATAAATCTGTACTAAAAATTATAAAGTTAAAATTTTCTCATTTTTTAATATAAATAGACAATTAAAAAAAAAAAAGAAAATTATCTAAATTGTACATGTAAAATATGTTACATAAATGATAAAATTGTAATTGTATTTTATTATTTATTCAATATTTTTTTAAGTTACACAAAAACTAAATATATTTCAATTATAAAAATAGCGAAAATTTTAAAGTATATATTTTTTTTTAATATTTGTTTTTTTCTATTTCAGTAAAATGGAAATTATTTGAAAAAAAAGAATTATGAATACACCGATTTTTATTATTTTTAATTATGCATTAAAATAAAAAATGTACAAACAATAATGAATATCTGCAAGAATATATCAATTTATAAAGTATTAAATTAAAAAGAAAAGAAATTAAAAATTATTATAAATAATTTTAATATCATAAGTTTAATTGTTAAGTAATGTAATATTTTTATTATATAATTATTTTTTATTATTTGCTTTTTTTAACTACCATGTTTCATAACAGGAATTTAGCATTCACTTATAAAAACATGTTATTACATTTTTATTTGAATTATTTTATATATAAATTTTTATCTCTTTTTTTCTTTTTTGTATTTTCAATAAGAAAAAATTAAAATAGTTAATAAGATATTTATTGTTCTAAATTTTATCATATATTTTTTTTTTTCTCCTTATATAGATTCTATATTTACACTTATAGTAAATTAAAAAACTAAACTATTAAAAATAATCTTTATATAGACATTATATTTAAATATATTAATATAAGAAAAAAAAAAAATTACTCTAAACAACTATTATTTTTAAAAAAGATATTATTTTTTTTATTAACTCCCTTTTATTTTTTTTTTTTTTAAAACAAACTTGAATTAAGTTATAAGATAATATAAAAGAAGAAATAATTTCAATGAATTTTAGGGAATTATAATAGAAAAAAATATACTATAGATATATTATTATAACTATTAATAATCAAATAACAGCCTTTTATATGGATATGAATGTATAGAATGTATAAAAGAACAAGTTAAAAAAAATTCATATTTCAAGAATTACTCAAACTATAAAAATATGATTCATAATTATTTAAAAAAGAAAAATAATAAGTATTTCTTTATGCATACCTAATAGTACATATTTAAAAATTTATTAAAAAATTAATTAAACTTATACTTAAATGTCATATTTCCTTTGTTTTTGTAAATTTTTCTATAAATTTTTAGTATTATTAATTTTTTTTTTTTTTTTTTTTTTTTTTATTGTGGAAAAGGCAATAAATATTTATTCTAAATAGTTATATAGGAAATATTTAAAAAAAAAAAGAAAAAAAAAGAATAATCAAAATAATGATTTTAAGAACACATTTATATTTTTATCTTTTTGGATAAATTATTATGAAATTATAAACCTAAAAAAATGTAAAAATATACTTTTGCCTTACACAAATTTTTTTTTTTTTTTATCAAATATTTGTTTTCATATTTATTATGTGAAATATATATTGAGTATTTATGTATATACACTTGTTTCAAAATAAAACAGGAATAAAATATAATATACAATGTTTATATAAAAGAATAAAAAATATTTGCTTTCCTGATTATTATTATTATTTTTTTTTTTTTTTTTTTGTATTTATCAATTTGTTGTTTTCATTTTATATATTAATAATAATAATTTTTTCTAGAAAAAATGAAATTATTCCTCTTTTTTTTTTTTTTTTTTTTGTTTTCTTTATTTAAGAACAATTCTTCAAAAGATTTATCTAAAAGAGAAGAAGACAGTTCTATATTTTATTATGGGTTTTTAAAATATATATATATATATATACAAAAATTAATTAAATTTTAAATATTTTATAATTGCTCTTACAGGTTATATTTTTTTTTTGAAGGTTCACAAATAATGAAGAATATCAACATTATATGCCTTCTAAATACCCTAATATACAAAGAGATGTAAATTAAAAATATACTAAAATTTTATTTCCCTTTTTTTTTTTATTATATTATTATGAGTTTCTTTTTTTATTTTAAGAGGGATTTAATTATAATGTCATGTAACAAAGGATATACCGTAGTAATAAAAAGAGCATATATAATTGATTTAAATGATGAAGGTATAACTTATTTTCTATTTCTTGTTTATGTTTTTTATTATATATTGAAGAATATATAAACTTTTTCTGTAGAATTATTTTGTTTTATTTTTTTTTTTTTAAAACATATATTCTCTGCTTACAATTAATAAACACATGTACACAATATAATTTTTTCCATAATTTACATAATTGATAAATATATATTATTTATATATTTTCTCACTTCACTGTTTTATTTTTTGATTTTTTATTTTAATAGAATATGATTATACAAAAATAGCACAAAATATTTGTATAAAAAAGGAACAATGCAGTGTATAAGAAAATTTACAAATCATATGAATTTCATAACTTATTAAAAAAATTTTTTTTTACTTATTTTAAGATTGATGTTAAGAAATTCAAAAGAAACACAAACAATAATTCAATTGATTCTTCTAGTGAATTAAGAGTAGAATATATTTGTATGAGGTTAATTATTTTTTCACTAAAATTTTATGATATATAAATATTAATCGAATAATTTTTTTTTTTCGATCAGCTCCCAAAAACCTCTTTATGATGGAAATATTTTTCATCAAGGAGTTACACATAAATACCTTATGTAATATTTAATTTTTTTTTTTTTTTTTTTTTTTCCCTAAATACAATTAATAATCTTTTCTTTTTGTCTGATTAAATAAAACAGTGTAAGAAATCAATCTTCAGGTAAAGAGATTTCATATCAAAATTTTGATAGAAGTTACATATACAAAAATGTTAAAATATATTTTAAAAAAATTATATTTCAGCTTGTGCTCAAAATAACGAAAATGTAATAAAATTGGAATCCATCTCAAAGGCAATAGAAGTGTGCACTTTAAATAATTGCAATTACGTTGTATGGGATAATGAAGAAAAAAAAGCATTTATTTGCAAGGAAGAAAATAATGATGTAAGGAATTAAAGAATAAAAATGTAATTAAATATAAATTTTTCTGAATATAATATATAAAAAATTATGTACTTATTTTTTCTAATAGAACATAATAGAAAAAAAAAATAGTGTAACATATATTAACCCTAACTATTTTTATACATATGGATATGCAACATTTTTGAATTATATGTCTGTATGTGACAATATTATAAAGGCTGTTCCATATAACCTAAGTATGACTAAATCAGTTGATGTTTGTTCTCATTTAGATTGTCATTATTTTACAAAAAGTAATTAAAAAAAAAAAAAAAAAAGCAAAACAAATTTTATCTTATAATATATATTTTTATTTTATTTATAAAAATATAAATAGGTTACCCAGGATCAATAAGATCATTAAGTAATACTAGGAATGGCAAATCGTGGTATGGAAAATTAAAAATTATGCCAAACATAAAAAAAAATAAAAATGTATATTAAAAAAAAAAAAAAAAAAAAAAAGATTATAAGATATACAAAAATATAATTTTTATATGTTTAGGTTTTGCAAAGGGTAATTTAAATGAAAAACTATATAAACCTTTTTGAACTATAATTAAAATACTATGGATACATAAAACATATTTTACATTTCATAGTTTTCCTACGATTATACCAATGGATGGATTTATAACAAGCGTAAAATTGAGCAAATTTATTTAGAAAGAAAAAATATATTCTTATTTATTTATATCTATTAGTCTTGTTTCACATAAGAAAATTTGTTAGATTATGTTTTTATTCTTTTCACATAAAAAATAGGTGTTTATAAGCAACTTTTAAATGTTTTTATTATTTTTTAAATAAAATATAATAGAAACTTTTAAAAAATTAATAGCATTCCAATTTATTCCTATATATATATATCATAATTTGAAGAGATATATACAACTTTTTTTTTAATATCAGCTTATGAAAAAATGATTTTAGAAAATATTTCACTTTATTATACAATGAAATTTTTTTTTCATAATTTAAATAATATATATATTCGAGGTTCATATGTAAATAAATGTTTTTAAACAACATATGAATTTTAAATTGAGAATTTGTTTTATTTTTTTCAAATAATAAAAAAATAAAATGAAACATGCGCATTTCATAAAATATTATTTCTGTGAAATCTTTACCAGTTAACATATCTAATTTTTAAGTTAATTAAGCATATTAAAAAATTATAAATTCCTATTTATGAAATAACTAAAAAATGATTTGCTTTTGAATGTAGTATATATTTTTATAAGTATATATATAGGTATCTACATAGATATATAGGAATATAAATGTTATATAAAAAAGTAACAGCGTACAATAAATGCTACTATTTTTATTTTAAACATCATAATTTTGTATAAGTTGATAAATATGATGCAAAACTCCTCTTTATTATATTTTATTTAATTAATATACGATTTTGTTTATTTTTTCTATTAGATTAAATTTAATTTTATTTAATAGTTTATTTTTTTGTAAGTTATACTATTTTTTTTATTTTTTTTTTTATTTTTTAAATTAAAAATATTTTTATTTTTTATACTTTTTATAATGCATCTACTGTATCTGTTTTAGGTTCTAAAACAGATATACTGTCAGGTAAAATAGATGGTAATCCAGTTTTTGTATCAATAGCTGTGGGTAACATAATTTTTACTTTTATACCTAAAACACCTTGTTTTAATTGTGCTGATCTTGTAGCAGTATTAACAAATCTTTTAGATGGTTCTCCTGTGGAAATCAAATAGCCATCACGAAACTTCATACTTTTAGCTCTCTGTGCTCTCAATTTTCCTGATACAATAACTTCACATCCTTTTGCCCCTGATTCCATTATATGTCTTAAGACACCATAACATGCTCTTCTCACTGCTAATCCCTTTAATAATTTATATCTTAGAGATTCAGCTTGTGCCATTGCACATAATCCTCTATGTTCTACTCTTTCAGCAAATAATTCAACACTATTAGTTGATTTATTAAAGAATCTTTTCTGAACTAGTGATGTTAATTCACGTATTCTTCTACCCTTATCTCCAAGCACTTCTCTAGTACGAGTGGCTCTAATTATAACTTCCGTTCTAAAAGGGAAAAGAAAATATTTCCATATATGTAAAATATTAAGTTAAATAAAAGAAACTTCATAAATGCCTTGTATTTAAGCTATATAATAATATTTTACATATATAAATTGTTTATATAAGATTTTCTATTAATATTATAATTTAAATACTTATATATATAAATATATGAATTCATATAATATTTGTACCTTATTGGTGTAACCCTCACTTCTACACCAGAATATCCATCTTCTGCTAAAATTCGAGCTAAAAATTCATTTAACTCAGCTTGAAAAACACCGTCATTGATAAACTTTCTTTTTTTTGAAATCTGCAAAAAAAATGTTAAAATTACATAAATTTCATTAATTCATACAAAACAATATCAATCATTATTTATAAAGTAATATAATAGAATTTTGTAAAAAAATCTAAAAATACTTTAATATCTTTGTATATATATTTTCTCTTTTTTATTTTTCACATAGTATATAATAAAAGATAAAAGTAAATAAATAATATATATAAATATACATATATGCATATATAACGTTTGTTCTCAAATTATAAAATGTGAATACACGTAAATACTCAAAAAAAAAAAAAAAACTCTCAAGCTTTTACTTTTTTTCTTATGATTTTTATGTATAATACAATTACATAAATTTACATTTTTTTAATAAAAAATTCATTTATATATAAAAATACAATTTTAAATATGTATATATAATTTTATATTTGAACTTACAGGAGCTGACATTTTTTTTGAAAATTTACTTCAATAATATATAATTTTTTTTATTTTTTACAGTTTTAAATTTAAATTATATTTTTTATTTTCCTTAAAATTTTTATCTCTGTATCATTATTTATTACTATATATTTCAAACATATATATATTTCTTTTTTAAAAATTTTTTTTTTTTTTTTTTTATAAATATAAATATATAAGCATATACTGAATACTGTGTTTTACATAAAAAAAAAAAAAAATGTTGCTATTAAAAAAAAATTTATATATTCATTATAAATTATGCATGTATAAAATCAATCATATAATGCACTACAATTAATATCTTATATTATAAGAAAAATATACGGAAATAAAAAATATATAAAATGTAATATGGAAAGCATATATAAAGGAACTTGACTGTGAATCCCCTTAGTCACTTAAAGAAAAAGGAAAAAAATAAAAGAAACAATGAAAAAATTATTAAAAAAAAAGTATTTTAATTTGTTTCAAAGAAAAAAAAATTTTTTTTTTCAAGTTTCATTTTTACTTTTAAAAAAAAAAAAAAAAAGTAAAAATAACGTTCTTAATATAGAGTTATAAAAATTTTTAGAAAAAAAAAAATTTTTTTTTTTTTTTTTTTTTTTTTGACATTAATAGCATTATTATTTTTAATAGAATAAAATTATAAAAAATAAAAATACTTTTAAAATTAAATAAATTTTATATCTAAGAATATTTTATATATAATTAAAAACATATGTAATGATTTTTTTTTAGACTTTAACATTCATTTGTGAGAAATAAACGAACACCCATTTTTCCCCATTCAGATGGATTTTTAGAACCTGTTTTTAATCCTACCTATAAATAAATAATAAAAAATAATATAAAATATTAACTTTGTTATAATGGAGTCACTATGAAAGAATAAAAAATGAATTTTTAATAAAGAAATATATAGTATGTTTCAAATTTTCATCCAAAGCACACATTTTTTATTAATAACAATGCTAAACTGAAATACATATGAATATAAACTAAAAATTTATAAATATTTCTTATTCTAATTTATTTTTCTTATAATATATATATATATATATTTTATTTTAATAAATGTAAAAATATATTATGTATATATATATAATAATCTGAATAAAGTAAAAAATTACCTGGAGTAGATAATTTTCTTTAATATCAATAATATTTTTTTCTTGACATATATACAGTGGGCAATAATATATATCATTATCATTCTTATTTTTTTTTTTTAAAACAACTTTCAGATAAACAATTGGAATAATAAAATAAAAATTATTATTATCAGTTTCCATTAATGATTGACTTATAAAATCCCATTTAGCACCTTGTAGAACTAACTTTTTTATATAAATACCTTCTTCAATTCCTTTATTTTTTAACTTATTTTCATCAGATTTACTAACTGTTGTAAATTCGAATGTTATTAAATCATAGCTAATTTCATTTTTTTTAGAATATTCATGTAAAATATATTTTAAAAAGCTTTTTGGGTTACAAAATCCTCCTAACCAATATATTTGCAAATTACCATTAAGACTCCATTCATATAATTGATTTACTCTTTCTTTTAAATCTTCAAAAAAATAAAGAATTTTTTTCTTTGATACATATACAGTTTTCCATGATTTAGGTACTATTCCATCGCTTAAATATTTTATTATATCATAAATTTTTTTATTTATAACTATTTCTCCCTTTAAAGCTAAAATGATAAAAAAAAGTTTTTATGAATTTTAAAATACAAAAAAAAAAAAAAAAAAAGAAACTTAAATTAACTACCTATTTATATTATTTATAAAAATAATTCTAATATATTTTTGTTATCATTATTTATTTAATTTTTTTTTTTCTTGACATATGTATATTTTTGCAATTATTTTTTTACAGTATTATCTAAATTACATAGATTAAGTATATTTAAAATTATTTTTTATATATATGAATAAAAATATTTAAATTATTTTTAGAAAATTACCGCATTGAACTTTGTTAAGAGAATTTCGAACTTTTTTTAAAACTAAATTATGTTTGTATATTTCTTGTAACATTAAATTTACATAAATATACTGTTCTTGAATATATTGTTTCTTCATTAATTCATCTAAATATATTTCACGAGGCAAATTATTTAATAATATTTTAGTAATAGAATACACTTGTTTTTCATTAATATTGTTAGTTGTAGTATTATGAATATGATAATGATTCAAATGTAACGAATTTACATTGAATAACAAAGAAATAATTTCTTTTGATGCTATTGAATTGAATGAAATTTCTGAATATGATTTTTGTCCAAATATTTCTACATTGTCATTATGAGGAATTTCCTTTAGATAATTGTTTAATACTTTTTCATTGCTAACTTCACTAGGTAAGTAATAATTTGTAGAACTAGAAAAAATATATTTTCCTTTAAATATATTATTATTAAAAAATTCTTTTGCATATATATTTAATAATTGTTTATCAAAATAATCATTAATTTTTGAACCATATATAATATCACAAATATAATAATGGTAGTAAGGCCAATAAATTTCCTTTACATTTTTATTTAAAAATATTTTTGAAATATATTTACTTAATACAACATCCTTATCACTAAAAAAATAATTCTCGCTATTCCACCCCAAATTATAAAACTTTTTCCTATTATTTAAAATAGAATGAAACCAAAATAAACTTATCAATAACTTTTTATATTTATTTAGTTGAATGTTTTTACTTTCTTCCATTGCCCATTGTTCTTTAACTAATATAGAGATACTTCTTTTAATATTATGAGGTTCTTCTAAAATAACAATAACACTTTTTTGTAATAAAGATATTGGAAATTTTTCAGTGGGCAAAGATGATAAGAATAAACGAAATTTTGGGTGAACCTTAATGTTTTTTTTTTTCTTCTTTATTAAATTATTGAAATTATCAGCATAATCAGTTCTGCATTCTTCTTCTATCAATGCACTATATCCTTCTACAGTTGCTAAAGATCCACTTCTATCTACATCTATTGGCATTTGAATTTCTTCCTGTCCTATTATTTCACCTTCATAAATTTTGATCGTTTTTTCTTCCATAACTTCTGTTATATCTTCTTCATTACTTATTGATTCTTTATTTTTTCCAACTATCTTTTTTTCTTCCTTTTTCGTTAGTGTCATTTCTTCTTTTTTTCCTCCATCACAATTATTCAAAAAAACATTAGTAGAATTGACTTGATTTTTGTTATCAATATTGATATTTTCGGAACTATTAAATAATGAGGATTCATTATTTAATATATTTTCAATTATTTTTGTTAATTTTAATAAGTTATCAACAGAATTATGTAAGTTTGATATATAAAGAATATGTCCTTTTTCCATTGCATCTCTCAAATAATTATATACGAAATTTATATTCTCATTAGTTAACGTTAAATTTTTAAGTTTTTGATTATTATCATGAGCATATTTATAAATATATTGAAAAGGATCATAATTACTTTTATAAATAATAGTAAGTGGTTCAATATTTTTAGAAGGCTTTAATATGTACTCAAAATTCATGTGATCCACTTCAATATCATTATATGAAATGTTAGCATATATAAAATTCTCTATTGCTTTGTTTAATCTATCAGGTCGTAAAATCTTAATTATAATTAACTTTTGAAAAGAGTTTAAATTGAATTCCCATTCATCTGGTAACACATAGCTTTCTACTTCTAAAAAATTAAACCACCTTCTCCATTCTCTTATTGATTTGATAAAAGAATTAATAAAACCTCCAAAATTTTTTAATTTTTCTATATCTAATAAATTCATCCACTGTTTATTGCTTATCCAATCATTTCCTGGATTTATTATCTCAATATTTTTTTCTTCATTTTCTGTTGTGCATTTATTATTTAAATTGTTAAATTCTGAATAATCCTCATAAAAATTATCTTCCATATATTCATTCGATAATTTACTATTCAAATTATGTTTTTTCTTTTTATTTTGTCTTTTTTTTTTGTTATTTGCTGTGTCTATACTATTCTTTATTTTTTCTTCATCTTCGTCATTATTATTTTTTTTATCCTCTGGATTATTAATTTTTTCTATCACAAAATTATCATTTTTTATATCTTCATTAGCATTCTCTTCTTCATCTTCATTAGAGCTATATTCATTACCTTCGTTATCATCACCATCATTATTATCACCATCATTTTCATCACCATCATTCTCATCGCCATCATTTTCATCACCATCATTTTCATCAATATCAAAGTCATCTTCTTCATAATAATCCTCATCATTATTATTAATTTCCTCATCATCTACATAATCATAAGAATCAGAAATGTTTTCTCCTTTTTTTTCTTGTTCATCATCACATTTTAATTTTTCTTTACTCTTTTTATTTTTATCATAATTTTTTCTCTTGTTATATAATTGTCCTTTTACATTATTTATATCTCCTTCTGTTACTTTTTTTTTTAAAAATTTCGAGTGTATCTTTTCAAAGTTAGCTTGATTTCCAAATATAAAAGAGTTGTAATCTTCTTGAGATATTTTGTTTTCAAAAACCATAATCTTACATAAAGAGTAAAAAATAAAAAATAAATGATGCTTATTTGATAAAGAAAATTTCGTATATTTTATAAATTCATAAAAAAAATAATTAAATAATTTTTCTTGCCTTTCAGTAGCAGAACAAGATAATTTTTTATTGTTTTTTTTAAAATCATTAATGCTATATGTAAAAAAATTAATGAAAATATCTAGAGAAAACTGATAAAAATTATTCACATATTTTAAATCGTTTAATATTGTAAATAATATAGACACTTTTTTTGCTAATGGTTTAAAAAGATCTTCATTCATATTAATTCTATTAAGTGTGTCATTAATTTCCTCCAAGTATCCATTTTTCTCATCTATTTCAGATTTTGATTTTAAAAGAATTTTAATTAAATTATCATCTTCCGTAATTTTATTCTGACTTTTAGTTATATTTTCTAGTACATTATTTTCTAAGTTTACTATCTCTTTTTTAATATGAACTAGGCGTAACAAAGATTCTTTTTTTTCATCCTCTAGGTTCTTTTCTTCATTATTTATAATAACAGTTAATAAGATGTTATCTAAGGCTTCTTTGTTTAAATTAAATACAATAACAGTAGTTAATGTATAAAATAAATGATCCAAATTAAAACAATTTTTATTAGAAACCAAGAACAATTTAAAATTTCTATGAATACTTATTCTATTTAGTAACTGTAATTTCATACAATATTTTTTTTCCTCATAAATTGTTTTATTATTACAATAATGTTTATATAATTTTTTCTTTCTACCTATGTATTCTTTTATTAAGGAATTATTTGTGTGATAATGATTTTTCAAGTCTAATATTGTATTATTTTCTTTGTCTAAAATAAATTTATTATATTTTTTAATTGTTAAAAGTAAAATGTCCTCTAATTCTTCATTAATGGAATTTATTAATAAAGCAATTCCCTTATTCATACAATAAATTATTTTTAAAAAAATATTTGAACCATGAAAATCAGAGATAACTAACATTTGATCATTATTATTATAGCTTCTTTTTATCCAATTAGTTGCCTGATAATGAGGATCGATTATTAGTGTTGCAATAAAATTATTATTAATAAGAATAGAATTTTCTTTCATATAAATATCATTAGATAAAAAGTTATTATTAAATTCTAATGATTGAATGGGGTCAATAAAATAATCAACAACATTAAAATTTGTATTAACGTAAATATGATTTTTTATTAGCAAATTTACACATCTATCATAAATTAAATATTTTCTATCTTCATAGTTCAATAAACCAGTGTAAACTAAGAAAAAGGAAGATAAAATAGACTCACCATATATGCATTTTTTAATACGTTCATTATCTTTAATATATTTTTGCCATCTATTTTTTTCGTCAATTAAATTAAGTAAAAATTTTTCAACATTCTCAATTCTTAAACATGATTCTTCATAGGACCTACTAAGTTCATTGTTAACTTTCGTACTTTCATTGTGTTGCTCCTGTAGTTGTAACAATGTTTTTTTAATTTCATCAAGTTGTTCCATTGTTAATTTTAATTCATTCCTATTCTTAGTTAGTTGTTCTTCAGCTAATTTTAATCTTAATCTTTTTGGTGCTACTTCTCTATATACTTCTGCGTACATTTTTAATGCATGAACCCACATACACAAAGCGCCAGTAGCTGAAGAAACTTTTTTGACTGCTTTTGGTGAATATATTGGATTTTTCGTAAATTTTTCAATTTTTTTTAATGTTTTATCGGATATGGAATCTTTATCAAATGTTTTTAATTTATTTAGAAAATTTGCGTCACCTAACTCAATTTTTGCTTGTTCCCAGCTTGGAGTTTTATTTAAAATGATCATTACAATGGATAAAGTTTGCATTACCAAGTCAGGTGGCTTTGTATAAGCTTTTACTTCTGAAATACTTTTTTTGTCTAATTGTTCTAGAGATTGTGTTGCCACTTCTAGTTCTGGTATAGCATTTTGCAAATCTTTTCTAGCATCTTCGGCTAATTTTTGTGTTTCTATTTCTACACTTGATATCCTAATACTATCTTCTTGTATTTTTTTTTTTTTTTCATTGGACTCTTTTTTTTTTTCTTCTATAACTTTCAATAATTGTGCACATTCTGTTTGTTTTTTAGATATATTTTCTTTTTGTAGGCTTAATTGAATTTGCATTTCTTGAATTTCATTTCTTGCATCTGCTAACTTGCTTAAAGCTATATTAATCTTTCTTTCTTGATTAGTTGTTTCTTCTAATTTTTTTTTATATAAATGTTCAAAAAATTGTAAAAAATTAAAAAAATGCTTAAAATTAATGTATTTTTGTATATTTAGCTTATCCTCTACTATTTTAGAATTTTTGATATATTTTATGTTATTTTCTTCATCTTCATTCTTGTCTTCTCCTTCTTTTAAATTTTCTTCTATTCCATCATTAATTGTTTTTTTATTCTGCATATTAATTTTTGTTTGACTAGTATTTAAGGTGTAATTGTCTTTGGTATTCATTTGTAAACTACTGTTAATCTGTATAGAATGTTTATCATTTTCCATTAGTATATTTTTAGATTTGCATAATGTTACATTTGCATCATAATTTTTATGTTGATAATTATATTTTATATTACTTTTTTGTTTTTCATTTGCATTTTTATTATTATAATCATTACATTCCATATGGTTAATGAATTCATTTAAAAAGGAATCGCTATCCTTTTCACCATATTTTTTTTCTTCAAAGTCAAAAATAATGTTTTCAAAAGTTTTTAGTGCTATACCATGTAACTTGCTAAATATGTCTATATTAAAACTATTTATTTTAAGCGTTTCATGAGCTATTATATTATAAGAGGTATTTTTCCAAGGGCAAAAATAATTTACAGTTGAGTTTTTCAATATTATATTATATTCATTAGATATTTTTCTAAAAATTTTCGTACTTAATGAAGTAAATAAAATATAGTGATAATTCCTTTTAATTAAGTCTTCAACCATTTCACCTAAAGTATCAAAATTGTTAAAGCTTATTTCATTTTGTAAAAAAATATTCTTTAAAAATGCTATTTCTTCGCTGTTAAAAATATTTATTAAATGTTCATTATTATATATTTCGTGTAAAAATTCTAAAATATCATCACTTATACTATCATCTAAATAATAAAGAATACATCTTTTTTCATTTTTGTAGCAGTTAAAAATAGCATCTTTAAATTTTTTTATAAAGTAATTGCATTTTAATTTTTCTCTTACTGAAAAATTTTTATTATTATTTAAGAAATTCATATTTAGTTTATTAGAATCTTCCTTGTCAGTATTTGCCTTACTCCAGTATGAATTATCATTTGGTTCATTATCTACAAAATTTAAACTTTTGTTCTTTTTAAAATTATAATTATTTAAATTGTTTGAACAAGTTTTTTCATTCAAATATACTTCATTTGTTTTATTTTCTTCAATTATGTTATTTGCTTCGTTTATTTTATTTTCTTCAATTGTATTATTTGCTTTATTTTCTTCATCTTTGTTATTTTCTTCATTTATGTTATTTATTTCGTTTGTTTTATTTTCTTCAATTGTATTATTTTCTTCACCTGTGTTATTTTCTTCATTTATGTTATTTATTTCGTTTATTTTATTTTCTTCAATTGTATTATTTGCTTTATTTTCTTCACCTGTGTTATTTTCTTCATTTATGTTATTTATTTCGTTTGTTTTATTTCCTTCAATTACACTATTTACTTCATTCATTTTATTTTCTTCATTCTGTTTATTTACGTCACTTATTTGATTCTGTTTTTCGAATTTTTTCAAAGATTTTGCAGAAAAATTCTCTTCATGTGAATTGTAATTAGTTGTATCTTCATCAATCAATCTGTCCTCTTCATCTGATGTATGCATATTTGTACTTCCGTAATAAAAATTTTTAATAACGTGAATTTTAATTTGATATATGAAACATGCAATTAAACAACAGGTGAACTTTCCTGGACCACTGTCACCAATAGAAATAAAATGTTCATTCTCGAAAAGAAAAATTCTAGAAATTTTGCAAATATTTAACATAACTTCTTTAAATAAAATAAAGTTTATAGGATTATTAATATTATTAAAATCATTATCATTTTTATTTATTAATTTTTCTATTTCTTTTGATGTTTTGAAGGACTTGTTTAATGAAGTATCAATCGTTTCTTTTAAATCGCTTTTATTATTTAGGCTATTATTTGTATAATAATTTGTATCCACTTCATTTTCATTTACATTACTTTTAAAATTTTCGTATATACGTATTTCTTTAAATTGTTCCTTTTTATTATTTGTTAGAAGGATACTTTTTTTTTTTTCTTTCACATCTACATTTACATTATTATTTTTAAAATATTCTTTTTTTTTTTTATCATAATTACACACGGTAAATGTATTATACGATGAAATAACACTTTTAAAAAATTCTATCAAAGCATTTTCATTAGATATCGATTGATAAAAAAAATAGGGCTTTTCATTTTTTGTGTCATGGAAATTGTAAGAACAAAAGTAAAATGTCTTTTTTTTTGGAAATAAATAATTATAGAAAACATAAAATTTTTTATGTAAAATATTTTTTAATATATTTTTAAACTTTTTTCTTTCATTTTTTAAAATTAATTGATCTCCTAAAACTCGAAAACATTCATGTACCCATAATCTTAGCACACTTTCTTTCTCTTCATAAATTGAAGCTTCAGATAAAAATAACCCTTTGATTATTTTAAAAATATGCGTTAAATGAAAAAAATAATGATAGCAATTTAAATTTGGTTTGAAATTTTTCGCTGTATCAAAAAATAAACGAACAGTAGATGAAGAAAGAGGTTCAGATAAATTTTTAATTACTTCATGAAAATTAGAAAATTTATGTCTTAAAAAAGCATTAAAAGTATTTTTTATAGTTGCTTCATCCATTTCATTTAAATGTACTATATGCAACCTATTTATTAATTTTCTATTAAATGTTGAAGTATATTTTTTATTATTACCATATATTAAAAAGAAAAACAAATTTTCTACATTCTTTACAGATCCATTGTCTTTATTATAATATATATTATAGTCAATGAACTGGTTAAGAAATTCGAAAATACTAGAGTTAGAAACTGAATTATTATGATTTTTAGAAATGCTTTTTGTATTAATATTAAAATCAAATAATAAATTTTCCTTAATATCATTGGAGTTGTTTAAATCAGAATTATTATATTTTTGTAGGTTATTTAAATCATCTAAAATAAAATATAAACATTTTTTATTTTCAATTGGTTTATAAATATTTCTACACTTCTTTTCAACATTCATTTCAATTTTTTTTTCTAGCTTGTTAGAATTAGATAATTTTGAAATGAAAGTGTAATAATTTGATATATCCTCTTTAATGAAAGGTAAAATATTATATTTCATAAAAAAAGTTTTTCCACTAAATTTATTACCAATTAGTAGTATATTTTTTTTGTTATACATAAGGATACTAATTATATTTTTTTTTCTTAAAGATTCCACATTCTCAATAAAAATATTGTCATTAAATGTTTGTTGAAAATATTTTTCTTTTGTTTTTTGGATATTATTCTCATTTAATTCTTCTTTTTGTTTATAAATTTCTTTCATCGATGACTTATTATAACTTTCTATATAATTTTCATTTATTATACTAAAATCTTCGTTATTATTCATATTGTGAAAATTATTTTTTTCTTTAATATTTCTGTAAGACAAAATATTACCAGAAATATTATTATCTGAAATGTTATCTGAAAAATTATTATTGGATAAATTTTGACTAAAATTATTATATATAGTAGAATCAAGAAAGTTATTATTTGAATATATATTATCATTAGAGTAGGAACTGAACATCTGAAAATTATCCAACACGCTCACATTATTTATATTGTTAATATTAGACGACAAAAAATTTTGATGATACGTTTCATAAACATTCAATGTATTGTTTTTGTCACTATCACTAAATAGGTTATTATAATTTATAGGATATTTATTAAACTTCTTACTAAAATATAAATTACTATTCAAAAATAATTTATTAAAATCCATATCTTGGTTCAATGTATCACTTAGTGAATTATCAACCATATATTTCATGTTACTATCATTTTTATTTAAGACAGAATTTTCATATGAAAAAATTTCTTTAATATTTGGAAGGAAATTATGATTAGTTGTAATTAATTCATCCCATAAAACCCAATTAAAATTATTTTTACTTATTATATAATCAAAAATAGTATGTAAATGAGGAAATGTATTGTCAATACTTTTGATTAGCTGATCTAATAATTCCTTACTTTTAGGACATAGAATATTAGAAAAAGTATAAATAATAGACTGAAGAAATAGTTTTTCTAAACATAGAGAAGGATTAAGATTTTTTGGGAAATTTTTATCATATAAATTACATAGCATATCATATAATTGGCAAACAGATATTATAATACTTGCATCACTAACCTCAATAATTAATTTAAATTTATTTCTTTTAGCATTCATAATTTTTTTAATGTATTTGTTAAAAAATCCTTGAATTAAATTTTTTTCTTCTAAACTTAAAAAGTTACTTTTTAGATAACTATCAATTATCCACTCAAAATTGAACTCTTCTTCGTTCATATAGACAATTTTTGATCTACTTATAAATGAAGGTGCACAATTTTTTAAATTTTCTATTTCAAAAAATATGAACACATTATCTGCAAATTTTATTCGATTTCCATTTATTAACGTTAAAACTTTATTTTCGTCTAGTAAAGAATGTAATGGTTCCGTGGTTAATATATCTAAAGGACCATCTAATATCAACCATTTTTCATTTAAATTATTATTTTCAAATAATCTTTTCATAATTAAAGATAAAATACCATCTTCATAAACTTCTTTTTCAAAATTATAATATCCATATAACTTTCGTACATCGGTTGACATTGGATTAAAAACAGTTATTTCAATAGAACAATCATTTGCGTCAGTACTTTTTTTATATTTTTGAGAAAAATCAATTAATGTACCTGAGGAATTTTTACTTTGCATAGAGTAAGAACTACTTAATTTGCTCAATTTCTTGGAACTTATATTATTAGTAAAAGTATTTGTGTTACCTTGATTTTTGCTTTTGGTAGAAAATAAATTAGTTGGATATAATAGAGTATAACTTTCATAAGCACTTCTATTTGCCATGGGAGAATTCATAGGTATATTTATTTGATTTGAATATGTAAATTCTTCATTCCAATTATTTAATTTACTTTTATTATATTCATATTCATTTTCTTGATAAATAGTACATTTATTTTTATCTAATAAGTTTGTATCATAACCTTCTTCTTCTATATTACTATTTTTTTGCATCATTAAATTTTTGGAAATTTCACAGTAATGCTTAAAAATATTGATTACACTTGTTTTACCACTACAAGATTTTCCTACTAAAACAATTCCTTTATTTGTTTTTTTAATTTTATGTAATTTTAATATTTTATTTATGTAATAGTCATTTACTGTGTAACCCATATTACTCATTATATCTGTTATTAATTTCACCGAGGAATCATTATTTTTTTTTTTTTCTGATTTATTTTTTACCAAAGGGAAAAGTTCTTTTAGAAAATTGTAAAATATATTTAAATCATCATTTAATAATTTTGATTCATTAACTTCCATTAAAGCATCATATATAATTTCTTCTTCACTTTTTATTTTATTATTTATCATGAAATCTTCAGACACTAAATTTAAGAATTTTTTTATTTCTCTTAAATCAATTATATATTGCTCTTGTTTAGACAAAAATTCGTATAATAAACTATAACATATATTAATTTTTTTTGATAATTTTTTTGAATTTTTAAATCCAATGGATGTTAAAGAAAATTGGCAAATTAAATAAAAATTTGGTGGCTTAAAACAAAATTCTTGAATAACATTATTGTAATTTTCTAGAGAATATAAACAATTATCATTATTTTTACACAATGTTAAGTAAATAGAGCAATTATTATTTATTTTAATATATTGTCCCTCAAAATAAGCATAATTGCTATTTACTAATTTATTATAATTTTCTCTTTTTGAAAATTCCTTTGATTTGTTATATTCATTTGATTTGTTAAATTTATTTAAATAATTGATCTCAGCTAATTTAGTGTCTTTATATTCATTTTTGTATTTTATATCCTTATTTTTATTATTTATTTCATCCTTTTGCTGTATAATTTCATTCCCATTTATGTTTTCATTTGTAGGATTTTGTTTATTTTCTTTTTTTTTTAAAAAAGATGGCATAGAATACTCATCATATAAAGTATTAAAAGAATTAATGCTTTCATTTTCTTCATCATTATTTATTTTCCATTTTGATAATTGATAAGAAGAGATGTCTTCGTATATTGTATTTTCTAATTCTCTATGAAAATAATTGTTAAACTCAAATTTTTGTAAAATATGTTTAATACATCTAAATTGCTCTACAATAATGACAATAACTCTTTCATCTATTCTATTAAACTCATCAAAACAGCACCAAAACCCAGATTGTAAGATACCAGATAAAATATTTCCTATATATTTAGAGGTATTATTATTATTACAATTAATTGAAATAATATTGCTACCAAATATTTTTGAAAAATCTTTAATTGTTTCACTTTTTCCAACACCAGTTTCCCCCTTTATAGCATTTACATAATAATTATCTAAAGAAAATAAACAAGAATAAAAACATTTTTCAGTTAAAGGTGTTATAACTAATCTAGTTGTATTTCCTTGGTATTCATAAGCATATTTTTTTTTATTATTGAAATAATGCAAATATAAAGTCATTGATTTATTAAGCATTAAATTAATGGTTTTAAAATACTTAAGCTGTTTATTATTTTTGTTTGTTACATCATTATTATTTATATTTCCTCCTTTGTTTATATCTATTGCCATTGCATTATCAATATCCCCTATTAATTGGTCATTTACTGATTTTTTTTTCTTTTGTAATATTCCTTTTTTTGCTATTCTTTCACTATCTACTTCTTTATCTTTTACCTCTTCACATTCTTCTTCTTTTTTCTCATTCTCTTCTTCTACTTGATAATCATCATTATATTCATCATACACATCCTTTTCCTTTTCTCTCTCTTCACATTCCCTTTCCTCATTTTCATCCTCATCTTCATATTCATGTTCTTCATATTCCTCTTGTTCTTGTATATCTTCTTCCTCTTCTTCTTCTATTTCTTCTTCATTATTCACTTTTTCTTCTTTTTTTCCTTCTTCATATTCTTCATCTGCTTTATGATTTACTTCTTTTTTTTTATTTTTCTCATTTTTTCCTATTTCTTTTAGTTCCTCTTCATTCTTTTGCTCAACTTCCTTTTCGTGTGCGTATTTTTTTTCATTTAAATGTAAACTTTTTTCTTTTGAATAACTCTGCTGTTTTATACTTTTTCTATTATAAGAAATGTTTTCCTTTTTATTTGTATGTAAGCTATTATAATTCTTTTTATTAATTTTATTTTCATTCGATTTTTCCTGTTTTTCATTTTTTGTTCTTATGTCATTTTTACTAGTTACTATTTTTGTACCTAAATCACCTCTATGTTTTTTTTTTTCATTTGTGTTTATAGCATCACTATTTATGCTTATATTTTTTTCACTGTATAAATCTTGATCAAACTCATTTTTGCTATTATACTTTTTATAAATATGCTTTGTTTGATTTTCTACATTGTCATTTTTATCAATTATATCATTGGATGATAATATCTTTGCAAAATTCAAATTTTCATTGTTTTCATCTTCAGTTAAAATATATTTCAATTGACACATCCACAAGAAATTATCATTGCATTCTATTTTATTTTTTATTAATTTTTCTGCGACATCTTTATAATAACTTTCTAATATTATTAAGGCACTAATTTTTATAAAATTTTTCTTATCTTTTATTGTTTTTATTAAATCAGTCAGAAAGATTAATTCTTTATTGTTTTCCTTTTTCATTTGATTAACAAATATATGTGATCCTTTATTTATTTGTATTAGAAAATATTCATAATCATTTGTAAAATTGATGCACTTACTTGCTAATACAAGCTGTTGTGTGTTATTCAAAATCCAGTTTTTTAAATTTTTTTCTTTTAATTCTAATTGTACATTTACTAAATCTATTTTTAATGTATCATATATATTTTCTTCTAATTTTTTTAATATAATAGTTGATGATTCATAATTTAATGCCATTTTTTTTTTCAATTTTACTTTCTCCTTGTATTGAGAAAAAATATAAATATCAAAATAGGATGAGTTATTGAAATTATCTAAATTATAAGTATCTTCTTTATTTTCACTAAGAATATCTTCTTGCCCTTTTTCTCTATTTATTAATTTTTCATTTGTATTCAAGTTAGAAGAGTTTTTATAATAACTCTTTTTATTCATAAAACTAAAACTACTTTTGTTAGAATCATGTGTTATTGCTATTTTTGAATTATTTTTTTGATAATATGCCTTTTTTTCGGTTGGTGAAAATTCAATAGAATATATAGAAGAAAAAATTTTTTGGATTTTTTTTTTTAGTAATAAAGGATTTTTGTAAATTCCCAAAATTTCTAAAATTTCTTTATTAGATAAAAAATAAAAACGAGGGAAAGAACTTTTTTTTTTTTCCAAATAAGTTTCCAGAGATTTTTCAATGAAATTCAGTTGCTTTTGTATTTGCAAAAAAACTCTTACATTATCATTATTATTTATCTTGTCTAATATATAAGAGTTTTCAAAACTTTTAATCATCCTTATAAATTTTTGATCACATATATTATACTCTTCATATATTTTTTTTAAATGTGGTTTCATTTCATCGGAAGAGGATAAAATTGATTTTAAATATTCATTTTTGTTTTGTATAAAATATAAAATTTCTAAATTATCATATAAGTTACCTAGTGTATTTTCCCATTTTTCTGTTTTTTTTAAAAAATTTATATCAAAATTATAAATTTTTATATTATTTAATAAAAATAAATCTTCATTAATGTTATTAAAAATATTATCGATGTCATGTATTAAAAAGGAAGATTTATAATTCTGAACTTTTATTTTCATATCCTCATATTTATTAATTATTTTCTTTAAGTTATTTTCTATAATTGATTCTTTTTCTGCGTTATTATAAAGAATTGTTATAAATTTAATTTCTTTATATAATTTATGTTCTATTATGTCATTTAAGGTTATATTATTAAGATTCCATTCAATATTTGTTTTTAGTTCTATTTCCTTGAAATGCCTAAATTTCATACATTCACTTGTAAGGATTTCAACAAGAATTAATGAAAATTTTAATTTACCTACATTATTTTTCAACTCTTTATATATTTCCCATGTATTTCTTCCTTTCATAGTTATTAGAAATTGCTCAAAAATATCTACGAAGTGTATTTTTAATTGATTTAAAAAAGTTTTTATATTTAAATTTTTCACATTATTTTGTTCAGTTAACTCTTTTTCATTTACACACTCAAGTTTTTCTTTATTCATGATATCCATTTCATTTTCTTTTCCATCCCCATTAATTTTTATTTCTTTATTTTTATTTGAATTATCCGAATGTATATCATATTTCTTCTCTTCTAAAAATGATAAAGCATCGTACAAATTTTGTTTTTTATATTCTTTTATCATTATAATTAGGTCATTTAATATGTCATATAAATAAAATATATTAACATTCTTGATAAAATCAAAAATAGTATGCCAATATTTAATCATTTGCCACATATTCTTTAAGTGAATTAAATCCACTTGCATTTCTTTTATTTGCTCATCACAGACATCATCTATATTAAATAAGTTTATCTTGTTTTTTAAACCTTCTTGAATCATTTTAATATTTTTTAATTCATTTTCATAAAAGTTTATCATATTCAGCACATCATTTGGGTTATTATTTATATTGACTGGTATTTCTTTGTAAAATACGGATTTTTTTTTTTGCCATATTTTATTAAATTCATTATAGGAATTTTTAATTTCGTTCTTCATTTTTTCTTTTGTATCTAAATACATAGTTTTACTTTCTTTTAGTAAGGATTCAAATTTACTAGATAAAGTTGAAGAAGTTTTTAATTTCATTATTTCATCTTCATTTAATTCTCCTTTTAATTCTATTAATTTTAAATAATCTTCTTCTAATTTATCTAGCTCTTTTTTATTTTTTGTATAATTCTGATTACAATATTCTAATAATTCATAGTGTTTTTTTAAATCATTTATATCTTCTGGCATTTTCAGAAGATTATTACTATTTTCTCTAAAAAAGTAATATAATTCTTCTAATTTATTTTTGCATTTTTCACTAATATAATCAAGAAATAGTTTTTTGTATCTACTGAAATCAGATAACAATTCTTCTTTTAGAATACTTAAATTTATTTCAATAAAAAGAATAATTTCCTAAAAAGGTTTAAAAATAAAAAAAAACACTATGTAAAATTACGAAAATAATATTTGTCTATCACATTTATTATATTTTTTTATAAATATATTATGACAATTTATATGAAATGATACAAGTACATTGTATAATATCTTATATTTTTTGTGATTTTTTTTACATACCTTATCAATATCTTGTTTAACATTTTCTTCTAAATTTTTAAAAACGCTAATTTCATTATAAACATATTTCATTGTATCTTCAGAAGAATGTAAGTTTTTAAGTAATTCATTTTCATTTAAATTCAGTAACTTCAAATTATAATGTTTTAGCCATTTTATTTTTTCCTTTAATTTTTCCATAAAATTAACATATATATTATTTATTTGACTTAGTAATTTATTACATTGATTATAATTATCATTTTTTTTCAATTGATTTTCTTTATCATCATTTAGCATATCTTTTTCATTAGCATTTGGCGTATTAAATACAAATGCAATCCTTTTTTTAATTTGTTTCTGTCTATTTTTAAAAATAACAAAACTAAATTTAGGAAAATTGTAAAACATATCTGATGCTTTTTTGTAGATTTCGTCTGTAAGATTTTTTGCTGATTGATGTGAAAAGTCATATATTAATTCTTTTTCTTTATTTAATTTTACGTAAATTTTAAATAATGGATAATTTTCTACTGCATCATTACTAATTTTATCAGTTAATAATTTATAATAGTTATATAAAGAAACTTTTAGAGATATAAAATATTTTTCTTGAAAATTTTTCTCTATATTTTTTATATAATTTTCAAAAGAATTCAAACTTTTTGTTGAAAATTTTTCAATATATACAAGAATTCCTTTGAGTATTTTTGTTATATTGCTATGTTTATCTCTTAATATTCTTCTGATTCTTTCTATATTTATATTTTGTTCTTCTTCAAATTCTTCCAATGTATAAGTTCTTTTTTCATCAATATTTATTATTGATATCTTTTCTATTTCATTTAATATATCTTTTATTTTTTCATCATTCTTTTTAAAGGTAGCAATTATTGTTTTTATATGAATGCATTCATTAAGAAAATTAAATAAAATATTTAATTTTATATTGTCTTTATTCCAGTTGTATTTAAAAACAGTATTTTCAATATTGTTATAAATGTTTTTTAAAATATATTCGAATATTTTATATTGATCGCTATTTAGCATTATACATATATTATTATAATTTCTCACAAGTCTATTTACATATTCTTTACTTATTTTTAATCTTTCTTCATGAAATGACAATTCATTTATTACATTTGGTAAAAATATTTTTTCATCTTTTATCTTTACCCAAAAGTTTACTTCAGATAGTACTTTTTTTATTTCTATATTATATGTACTCTCTAAATATTTTTCCTTTACTTTTATTATAATAGAATTATCTAGCAATGTGCTAACAAGAGAATTATTCTTTTTAGATGCAATTGTTTTTAGTTCATTTATCCATACATTATTAATTTGCTTTATATAATTATTTAAAGAGTTTTGAAAATTAAAATATTTTTCATAAGCAGTATCTTGTTCTTTTACTTTTGGGATATAATAAAGTTTATTTAACTTATCAAATATCCTATATAGTTTTATATAAATGTTTTTTGCAAGCATAATACAAGAAGAATGATATTCATATCTTATATTATGAGAGAAATAATTAAATGGATTATCAAGAAAATTATTAAAGTATTTAGAATAAGATTCAATATACTTAATAAAATCATACCATATATCTATTACTTTTTTTTTCATAAATGATTTTATATTTTCAGTTACAGATAAACTATAAAATTTATCAAATAAAAAAATTGTATTTTCTATATTACACGAATTTTCAAATGATATTTTAATTAAATTTATAAATATGCTTTCTAAAACTTTTATTAATTCTTTTGTTTTTTTAAAGTCATTATCCCATTCGTTATTATTTATACTTAATATGTTATATTTTAAATTTCGAATCCTATTTAATTCATTGAAAAAAGTAGACTCTATATCATTAAAACCTTTTTTAATTATATCATAATATTCATAACTAAACGTTTTTATATCCTCTTCTTTTATACAAAATAAAAATTGTTTACAGGCAAAACATATTTCTTTTAAATCTATACATTTATCTCGAAATGATATAATCTACTCAAAAAAAAAAAAAAAAAAAAAAATTAAGTATATATATTATACTATATAATTATTCATATATATATATATAATTACATTAGACAAATTAATATGATTTATGATTGAATCATCTGTTAAATTTTTTTCATCTGGTTTGCTAAATGAAATATTTATGAGATAATCCCAATATGAAACAAAATTAACACATTCATCCAATGTTTCTATTAATTCTATAACTTCCTTTGTATACAATTTTGAAAGATCAATGTAGTTTTGTAACTTTTTAATAAATTCATTTAATAGTAATGTTATTAAACTATTTAATTCATCCGAATTTTTATAATATTTTGAAAAGTTAAAAATTAATTTTAATCTATTCACAATAATAGGTAAAATATTATATACATTTTCTAAAGATACATTATCTTGCAAATTTCTAAAAGGTTCTTCTAAAATTTTTAATGCTTTTAATTTTTCTTCTAGTCTTTCACATTTATCTTTTATTTTTATTATTAAAGAATTAAATTTTTTTACATTTACACAATTATTTTTATCTAAAACATTTAAAATACAACCTATTATATCTAAATTTAATTCTTCTAAAAGATCTTTCAAAATGTTATGTTTTTTCTCTACATCAGAAATATATTCACATAAAGATAAATAATTTATATCTTTATCATAGATCTACATATATATAAAAAAAAAAAATATATATATATATATATATATAAATATGTTAATTGAAAAGCTATAGATTTAGAAAACTTATATATAATTTTTTTTTTTTTTTTTGTTAGTTTTATTTTGATATACAAAAATAATAAATTATATGATACTAATAATCTATGTTACTTTTATATATATTTAATAAAAGTTTAAATATTATTTAAATAGTATTTTGTATGTTAATGTAATAAAATTAAATAATGATTATTATTTAAATTTTCAAATTAGTGTTTTATTTCACAATAGGATTAATTTAAATACAACGAAAAATAAAGAAATAATTTTTTTTTAGTTTATAACAATAATATTTTTAAATTAATGTTATTTAATTAAAATATATATTTTTATGATATTTAAAGTATAAAATTAAATGAATTCTATAATATATAAACTCATAAAGTATATTATTTATGACTGTTAAACAAAAAAAAACTTAAACTATTACAGAAATAAAGATAAATTTAAATAATTTTTTATTAAGCATACATAGATAAATAGTTCTATTTTCATAATTATAATTTGTGTAAATATATGATAAGATTTTTTTTTTTTTTTTTATTATAAAGTGAAATATATTTTTATTCTTTATTATCCATATAAGACAAATAGTAATTAACTTTCTATATTTCTATTATTGCATAAACAGAAAATTTAACTAAAAATTTTTTAAATCATGCATATTTTTTTTGTTTATTCTAATTTTAGAAAAAAAGAATTCAAAAATTAAATTATTTAATAAAATACATTTGTAGAAATATATATATTTTTTTTTTTTTTTTTTTTTTTTTTAAATCCAATAGAATACATATTTTAATTTAATTTATTCTATTATTAATTGTATATATGCTTATTTAATATACTTATTATTTGCTAGAAATATATCTAATATTTTTATATATAAAAATATTATATTATTTATTAGAACTTTTTTTTATTATATGTAAATGTTACATTTTTGAACAATTTTTGCACATCTTCAATCCAGTGAATTAATAATTTTTCTAGTAATTGGAGATAATTTTTATCATTTGCAAATAATTGAATTTGATTAACCGTAATTTTCGGATAGTAAATTAATTTATTTTTTGAAAATATTTGAGTTATATATGACATGAAATCTATGGTTGTAATTTTAAAATCATTTTGTATGTTTGTTGGACAGTTATTTTTAATATCTATAGATGGAATTAATACTCTGTCCATTAAATTTAAAATATTTTCTTTTATTTTATATTTTATTTTGTTAAATAAAATTACATTATCTATATTTTCATGCGTTATTTTTTTATTATTAATCTTTAAGAATATTATATATTCTTCAACTGTTTCATCTATTATATCGTTTGAGAAATCAAAAGAAAAATTTAATTTAATTTCATCATTTTCTATTAGGTATATAAATAATATTTTAGAATTAATGTTATTTATCCATTTGAGAATTGTTTTGTTATAATCATCTTTCCATAGATCATTAAAATTGTACTTAGAAAAACTTATTTTATGTTTCACCCACACACTTAAAAATTCTTCACTTATTTCACTCATTTTTAAAAAATACTTTTCAAAAAAAAGAAATTATAAATTATAAATATAAACAAAAAAAAAAAAAAAATATTCTTATATATTTTAAAAAATAAATAAAAACTAAAAATATATTTAAGAACCTATTATAACAATGGCTATAAGGAAATTAAAATATAAGAAATGATAAAAAAAATATTATAAGTTTTCACATTTTAAGTATAAAATTTTGAAAGTTTCAAACTATAGTATCAAAGAAGAAAAAAATGTAGAAATATAAAAAGAATAATATAAAACATGTTTGCTTAAAAATATATTCAAAAGAAGAGAAAAATAATTAAAAAAAAAAAAATAATAAATAACGCTATTTTATTATAATTCACATAATTATATATTTACTTATATAATTTTTTTTTTTTTTTTTTTTTGCACATGGAAAACATGAAGAATTTTTAATTTAATTAATAATAGAAAATAATAACATACTAATTAAGAATGATGTGTTTAAAAAAAAAAAAAAAAAACACTATATATGTAAACTATTTTTTTTCAAAGAAAAAGAATATTAGACATTTAAAATAAATATGTTTCATTAAAAAAAAAAATAAAAACAAACGATATAATAATAATAAAATTCTAAAAATTAAAGGAATTATATTAGACATTTAAAAAAAATCTATATCTATAAAAAAAAAAAAAAATAAATAAATAAATAAAGGTTCTAAATAATAAATAAAATATGATAAAATAAAAAATAAAAAAAAGAAATTAGGTGAGGTAAATAAAGTGTAATAAGTTTATAGAAGTTAAAAAAGTTAAAAATATTAATTTTTTCATTAATTTAAAAAATGCTTCATTCTTTATTAATTTTAAAGGTAAAAAAATATTTTATTTCTTTTAAGATCTCTTTGAAATTTTTTGCAATGAAACGAAAAAAAATAAGTTGTGATATATTCTTTGAAATATGGTATATATTATAATTTTCTCACACATACTTGTTAAATTATTTAATTTTATTTTTTCTCTTTTTTTTTTTTTTTATAATCTTTGAAAATTTTCAATTTATTTTTATAATTATCATTATACAGAGTTTTCCTAATTTTATCAAGCCTAAAAATTTTATTCTTAAAACATAAAACACAATATATAATTATTTAAAAAACTGATAATCATTAATATATAAATGTATGTACACAATAAATATTATTCTATTAAATTTTTTCTCTTTCTTCTTATCTTTCTATAAAACTATTTTAAAAAAAAAATAAAAATAAAAAAATCTTTTTTATTTGGTTGTGAGATGAAATTTTTTAAAAAAGAAAAAAAAAATAATAGTAATAATAAAATATTCTAATATCATCATAATTTTCTTAATTCTTGTAATTGTTTTTTAAAATCAAAGAATTTAAAATGGTTATTTTTTTTGTTTTTTTTGTTTTTCCATTTGTAACTAATATTTTTGTAGATTCATTAAAAGAAAATTTACGTGTATCTAAGTGTAATGTTACAGGTATTTTTTATAAAATTAAATAAAATTCATTAATTTTATTATTCTTTAAAAATAATTCATTTTTGTTTTCTAAAAATATAATTTTTTATTATTATAAAGAAAAAAAAAATGAAATAAAATTTGAAGATAAAAATAAGGAGATTTCTACTATAATACTGAAGGGAGGTTACATCAATAGGCAGTAAATATAGAATGTATTTTATTTTTCCTTTTTTTTCCTTAATTATAAGAATAAATTTATATTTAGAATTATTTTTATATTTTCAAAAAAAAAAAAAAAAAAGAATTATTTTTATTTTATAATTATTATAAAATTGAAAATATAGATATAAATAAATTTAGATAAAAAAGCATCTGTCTCTTTCTCTCTCTCTATCTCTATCTCTCTCTATATATATATATATTTTTTTTTTTAAATTGTAAGATTTATTGGTGAAATAAGTATTGGAAATCCTCCTCAGGCATTTAAAGTTCTTTTTGATACTGGTTAATAATCATTAAAAAAAAAAAGACTATTTAATTATATTTGCATAATTTCATTTAAATCATTTTTTACTTTTGAAAAGGTAGTACAAATTTATGGATACCATCAAAAAATTGTTATTCAAAGGGTTGTAATAATAAAAGAAAATATGATCATAAAATTTCAAAAAATTATAAATTAATTAAAAATAGAAACCCTGTAGAAATTCTATTTGGAACCGGAAAAATTCAAATGACTTACGTATCTGACGATATTCATTTAGGAGATATTAAGTAATAAAATGTGTGTAATTAAAAAAAAAAAAATTTTATGATATGAAGAAACAAAAAAATTCTTTATACTTTTAAGGGTAAATAACCAAGAATTTGGATTAGCTAGCTATATGTCTGATGACCCTTTTTCTGACATGCGTTATAAAAAAAAAAAAAAAAAAAAAAAAATTGTTAATTTTATGTATTTTAAATTCATACAATTATTATTAATAAACAATTTAATTTTCTTTTTTTTTTTTTAGTATTTGATGGATTATTTGGATTAGGAATTTTAGAAGATAACAAAAAAAAACAGTTAATATATGATAATATACCAAGGATTAATTCTAAAAAAAACATTTTCTCTGTTTATTATCCCAAAAATGTTAATGATAATGGTGCAATAACATTTGGCGGTTATGATAAAAAGTAAAGAGAAGAAAAAAAAAAAAAAAAAAAATTATATATAATAAAATATACATAAATATTTTTACTTTATATTAAAAGAACCATATTATAAATATTTTAATTTTTTTTTTCTATTAAGATATATAGAACCAAATTCAGAAATAGATTGGTTTGATGTTTCATCTAAAAAGTATTGGGCAATTAAAATGGTAATGAATAATTTTATTTTAAATGTAAATAATAAAGAAATATTGAAAAAAATTGAAAAAAAGAATATGAATTATTTTAAAACATATATTATAAACATAGATAGGATTAAAAGTTAATGGTGTACTTTTAGATATATGCTCAAAAAATAATGGTTAAAAAAAAAAATCATATATAAATAAATAATCTTCATTAATTAAAAAATTATTTTTTCTTTTTTTTTTTAATATTTATTTTATCATAAGGTGGATACTGCGAAGCAGTTATTGACACTGGAACATCAAGTATAGCTGGTCCTAAGGATGGTCAATTTTTTTTTTTTTTTAAATTTCTTTATATAAATATTTTTATAAAGATATTATTAATAAAAAAATTCTTAGATTTAATATTATTAACAAGTTTATTATATCCTGGAAAATCATGTTATAATAAAATGTTCTTAAAAAACTTTTCTTTCATCTTAAGTGATGAAAATGGTATTTTTAAATTTATCTATATTGTCCTTTGTATAATTTATTTATAATAATTATTATATTTCGATTTTTATATGTTTGTAATTTAATTATTCTATTAGGTATACATAGAGAATATGAATTAACACCTAAAGATTATATTTTAAATTCATTTAAGAATGATCCTATTTTTAAAGTTCCATGCAATTTTGCTTTTATGCCAATTAATATTTCTTCTAATAGTGGATATTTATATGTAATTTCTTAATTAAAATACAAAACATATATATATATATATATATATATATATATATATATTAAATATGCAAAAATATAGAAAAAAAAATATGGTGACTTCTTTTTTATTATAGATTCTTGGGCAAATATTTTTACAGAAATATTATGCAATATTTGAAAAAGATAATATGAAAATAGGTTATTCATATAAGAATAAATAAAAATTATAAATTATAATTTTTTTTTAAGTATGCTTCTATTTTTTCATATAGTCTTATATATTTTTAATATTTTATTTCTTTTTTTTTTTTTTTTTAGGTTTAGCGAAGTCTATATGATTATATTTTTTTTTTTTTTTTTTTTTTTTTTCATAATGCACATAAATTAATATTATATTTCTTTAATAATATTTATTTATGTATATATGTATGTTTTTTTTTTTTTTTTAAGTGTGTCTATTTGAAAAGAAATATTTATAACTATATTTTGTGCTATTGAATTTTTGTAGTTAAAATCATAAAAAACGAATAAACAAATGATATACTAATAAAAAGAAAATAATATTTTAATTTTAAAAAAACTATTTAAACTATAAATTTAAAGTAAAATAAGAGTAATTTATATTGAAATATAATTAATAAAACTAAAAAAAATGATAAGAAAGAGAAAGTCAAAAATAGCTGAAGATGAACACCTTGAAGAAAATGAAGAAATTATGGAAGGAAATTTTTTATTTAATAAAAAGAATTCTACAATGAAGAGCATAGAAGAAGTAGTTGACGAAAATATGGAAGGTGAAAATATAGAATTTAAACCAATGGAAGAGTTAGAAAAACATAAGGATTCAAATAAAAGCATAGAAAATAATAAGGAAATAAAAAGTAATGATAATATAGAAAGTATAAAAGATAATGTAAATGTTAAAAATGATTTAGAACTGGAGCATACTTATTCTACAAATATACCAGATGTAAATATATTAGAAAATAATACAAATGAAAAACATGAAATTAATGAAGTGAAATTTAAAGCCATTGATGACTTATATAATAAATATGATAAAGAAGTGCAAAGTTTGTTAGAAAGCTTTGAACTTTTAAATTTTTCAGAATTGTTTAAAAATCCTTTTGACCCAACAATTACTAGAGATGAAAAAATGTAAAGAGAGATAAGAATATACAAATTTTTTCAATTATAAATATTTTATATATTTTTATTTTTTATTTTTTGAAAGTGTTAGAATTTTTTATTTTTCTGGTTTTTCATTTTTACCTTATTTAGGATGGGTTGTTGGTAAAAATATATAGAAATTTCTTTAATATTTTTTACCATTTTTATTCTATTAACATTATTTTTTTCATTTTTATATTTCCACTTTATTATTTTTTTTTTAAGCTTCAATATATGGATCTTTTTGCAAAGAAAAAAATAATAAAAATATTATATCTGTGAGGAAGAATATATAAATATAGATATAAATTTTAAATATTTTATTGTATTTTAATATTTTTAATTTTAATTATTTTCTTAATTTTTTTTTTTTTTTTGTTAGTTAAGAATTATAAGTTCTATTCAATGTGCTATATTTGGTTTAATTATTATATTAATAATAGCATTAATTAATTGTAAAAATAAAAATAATACAAATACAATTCTATATAATTATATGTGATATATATGATTGCTTATTTACATTTTTTTTTTTTTTTTTTTTTTTTTTTTTTTTTTTTTTTTTTTTTTTTTTTTTTATAATAATTTTTTTAATTTCTTTTTTTTCAAAAGTAAATGGACAAAATGTGTTACAATGCAGAAATGAAGGAATTTCATTTAAAAAAAGTTATTTAAAAAATTAAAAAAAAAAAAAAATATAAATAAAAAATATTAATTTTTCTATTAATTTTTTTTTTTTTTTAAGAATTGGTAAATGATGCTAAATACAATGTTGTATTTTTTGGACCTATGAGCACAGATGATTGGATGAAATCTAAACTATTAAAAAGTAATAAATATATATATATATATAAATATATATAAATATATAAATATATAAATATATATAAATTTATGAATATAAATATATATGATTTATTATTAATATATAGTTACAGAAGAATTAAAATTCAATATTTATACGATAAGTTATCCTAATCTCAAGCATCATACTATAAAAACTAAAAGACATGTATTTTTAAAAGATGCTTTAGCATGTGCTAGATTAAAATATTCTGATGTTATTCTATTTTCATTTCAAATTGAGAGTGCTTTTAATTTTACCATTCCTTTTCTTGAAGTAATATAAATTATTTTTTTTTTCTTTTTTTTTTTTTTTTCAAAATAATAAAATTTATTAAAAAATAAAAATAAAACAATTTAAGAGACAATAAAATAAAAAATAGGTTCCTTTTTTTAAAGAAAAATGAAATTCTTGGATTTTTCAGTTTCTCCAAAAAATTCCAAAAAAAGGTAAAGAAAAAAAAAAAAAAAATAGGAAAATATTAAAAATAAAAATACACATTATACATTTTTTTAAAATTTAAAAACTACTATTTTTTTTTAGATACCTACAAAAGAAAATATAGGAAAAGAAAATATAATTTATTTAGCTCCGAAAGAAAAAAATGTATACGATATTTATAGCTCTATAACCATGAGACTTTGTCATGATAAAAATAATAATTATTACAATATTTTGTACATAGTACATCATAGTTTTAATAAATATCAGATTAGATGTTCGGTAAAAAAAAAAAAAAAATAAAATAAAATATAAAATATTATTATTTTTCATATTCTATTAATATTATTCCTAGTTTCATAAATGATTTTTAAGTTTTCATTACAACCTTAAATTTTTATTTTCTATTGCATTTTTGTACAGTATATTTCTCATATCATTTTCCTATATTTTATTATGTGTGTGTTGTAATTTTATTTTAATCTTTTTATTTATGAGGGGGAATGTTTTTTTATTAATTTTATGTAGATTTTATAATGTAGTATTATTATTATTTCTTTTTATTTTATATGTAGAAAAATTTAGCTGAAGACTATAGTATAGCTGTAAATAATTTTAATTTCAATGCTATTGGAACTGAAGAAAAAGCATCTAAATATGAAGATGATGATTTCAAGGAGGTAATTGATGATTTTTATCAATACTTAGTATTTATTAGAGACGTTATTTCCCAAAATAATTTAGAATTTTATAGAAAAATGTTATGCAATAATGTTATGTGTGAATCAAAAGGAGCTATATGTGTTCTTTAAAAAAAAAAATTCATTAAAAATATATGGAAAAAAAAAAAAAAAAAAACAGTACAAAAAAATGATAAAATAAATGAATGTGGATAAAATAAACATAAAAAGTGTAATGAATGAAACAAATTTGTTTTGATAAGTTTTGTTGAAAATAAAGAAAATTAAATTATCCTACAGATCTGTTTTAAATATCTAAAATAATTTGTTTATGTAGTAAATTACTATATTTTATATCAAAATTGGGTGATTAAGAATATGTAAGTTTAAGAATACTTAATAATATATTACTTTTTCTTTTGTTCATCTAATTTAAATATATTATGTAGTATTTCTACATTAAAAAAAAAAAAAAAAAAAAAATTTATTTGAAGATACTTTTTTTTTTCTTTTAAAAGTTTAATAAGATAAATTATATTAACAGAAATAGCGAAAGAAAAAAAAAAAAAAAATAAAATAAAATAAATATCTTGTATTTTTAAAAATATATTTTTATAAAATGTTATTTTTAAATGAATTATATAAAGAATAATTTAATAAAAATTTTAATATATAGACATAATATATATTTAAAAAAAAAAAAAAAAAAAAGTAAAAAAAAATCACATTTTATAAAACGTAAATTATATCATCAAATCTTAATAGACAATTTTCATTAGGCTTTGTATATATATAAAAGGGAATATTTTTATCTCCTCTTCTATATAAGCCAATAATAGTAATATTTCTTTTTGATAAAAAATAAAAGATATCACGAAAAGTTTTTATTCTTTTAAAGGAAAAATCAAAATACTTATTCAAATCACATATATATATAATACTTATGTATTTTATTAAACTTTCCAATGTATCATTACACACTGAAAATTTAGAGAAACTTTTGTGATGAGTCATAAAATTATATAACATGGTTTCACAAATAATATTACTAGAATAAAATTGTGACGAATTTACATATGGGAAAAAATCACAATAAGGAGATTTTTTATCTATTAATTTTATCATTTTATTTTCTTCAAGAAAAATGATATTTGAGGGGTTAATTAATTCTGTAATTATATTATTTATATAGTGTGTTTTTTTTATTTTTTTCAATAGCTGTGTGACTTTTCTTGTTAATATTATTGTGTTCATATCTATTTCATTTATATCATTTATGTCATTAATTTTAGTTGGAAAAATTAATATGTAATTTGCTTGTATCAAACCTGCATTTATTAAATTATAATCATCTAAATACTTAAATTTTATAAAAACAACATTATATTTATATAAATCAAAAATATTAATTGGAGGCATTTCATCAGTTAACATAATAATATTATATTTGTATTTATTATTTATCATTTTAATTAAATGTATTATATTTGATGTGCAGTTGATTATTAATAATAACTTATTATTATTTTTTTGAAAATATTTTTCGTATGCTTCCGCATAGGAATAGACTACTGGATTTTTTAATGTATAATCAAATTTTTTTTTGTTGCTTTCTTTAAAATTTTCTACTTCTTTAAAGTTGCAATATTTATTTAAATAACTTTTCTTTTTTAATTTTCTTTTATGGTTAAAGTAATTAGTTTCGTTTTGACTTAATTGTGTGTAAGATGTATGTAATATTTCAGTATCATTATTAGTTCTAAAACTTTTTTCTTTTTTTTTTTTCTTAGTTTTATTTTCAAAATTATAGCCATCATACAAATTATTTTTTTTTTTTACATTTTTATCTGTATTATCACATTCATAAGCTATTAAATTTGAATAATTTATACAATTGAATATATCATTGTCATAAGTTGTGTTATAATCGCAATCACTATTATCTTTTTCATATTTATTGATACTATGTAGTAGTTTCAAGTTTTTTTCTTCATTTTTCTTTCTGTCTTCAAATAAAAGCAATTTACATTTTTTTTTATAATCATAACTTTTTTTTGTGAAAAATTTAGAAATTCTGTAATTATTAAATAATTCATGATAATTTATTGCTATTATATTTTCATATTCTTTAATTCCTATTTTTTTTTCTAAAGATTTAGTAGCCATATTTTTCTTTATATCCTTAGTAAAGTATTTATTAAAACTTTGTTTAGTTTTTATAATTGATTTTAAATCATAAGATATTTTATTTTTTTTTTTACTTTTAATTTCAAATAGCCAAAATAAATCCTTTGCTTTAGATAAATATTTTATGACTTTCCTAGAATCTGCAATAACAATACATTTATCACTCTTTTTCATGAAGTAACTTTTTCCTAAAAGATTTAAATAACATTTTAGTTTCCTGCTGCTTTTGTTTTTATTATTTTGATCTGTAGATAAACTACTTTTTTTTCTATTGCATAATTTATAATCACATTGTTCTGTATTTTCAAAGTATTTTCCTCCTTTTTTTTGATATGTTTTCTTTAAATTATTATGCGAACTATTATTAATGATATTTATACATACATTAGAAAGATTTGTGTTATTATTAGAATAGCTGTTTTTTATAGAGAAATTGTTATTATGAGTAAGACTATTATCATTGACCACATTTTCATACTTTTTAGAAGAGCTTTCATTATTAGATGAATATTCATAGTTTCTAACATTATCATTATAGCCAATGAACATTTTTTGTTTTGAAATATTAGCATCTTTTGTAAGAGGTAAGTTGCATTTTTCAATTGTAGATTTTTTTTTGTTTATATTTTTCATGTTATTATTATTACTGTTACTTTGATTGTTATTATTTTGTTGATTTTCTTTATTCATGTAATTAAATGGTTGAATATACTTTTTCAATAAATGCAGATGTATAAATTTAAAACTGTTTTTTTTTTTTTTTTTAATTATCTTAAATAAATTATCTATGAAAAAGCTTTTTTTTCTATATTTACTTTTAAAAGAAATAGGATTGTCAGTTTCAATTCCCAGTAATATAATACCAAGCGATTCGTATAACTTATAAAATAATTTATCATATTTTAATCCAACCATATTTTTATGAACAGAAAATGAAAAAATTTTGGTTCTAGATCCTCTAGTGAATTCGTATTTATATTTTAATGATGGAAAATAATTCAGATTGTCTATTTTGTATGAATATATATCAAAATTATATGCAGTAAACAAATTTAAAATTAAAGTTATAAATCCAGGATATTTAATATTTTTTACAATTAAAGAATATTTTAAATTAACAATAACAAAATTTTCATATCCAATAGATTTAATAATATTTGACATACAATTATTTCTTAATTCAATTACTGCATTTTTTTTTCCTAATAAAAACTTTTTCAAAATTAATAATCTCGCGAAAGATTTGGTATCTACGTTATACTGACTATTATACAATTTACTGGAAAAAAGAAACAAATAATAAGCATTGTGAGCATTAATAGTAGATAATAAATTAGTATTTTCTTTTTCATTTAAATCTGAATTCTGAATATATAAAGGTATGCAAAAGTAATCAGCAAGTTTTATCTGATCTTTATAGAAATTTATAGGATAACTAGTTAATAAATGAAATTTTAATTTGTTTCCATAAGCAAAGGATTCAAAAAGAAAAACATTTAACTGTTGTGGCTCAATATCACCAATTAATAGAATAAATTTTTGGTTGTTCAAACTAATTTTTCCATAAGATTTTTTTTTTGAAAAAATTGAAATGATTAAATCATTAAATTGTATAGGAACCCAAATAAACGTCCAAAATATAAAAAAAATGCAAACCACTTTACTTAATTTATTATTCGGAAAAATATCTCCATATCCCACTGTCGATATAGATATTATGGAGAAATAGAAATAATCTAAATAGCTATTAAGAAAATAATTAAAATTGCCATTTTTCAAATTATAAGGATGAATGGCTTGAATAGTATAAATGGTAGAAGCAAATGCATTACATAATAATAGAACTCCTAAAACGATTCTAATAATTTTAATTTCTGTATTTGTTAAAATAGAATTATGTTCAATTCTAACATATGATACATTTAAAAATATTTTAACATTTCTCAAAAATCCCATCATAAAATAAATATCTATTTGATTCTCAAAAAAAAAAAAATGTTTAGAAAAAAAAAAAGCACTTGGAGCACTAAAAAATACATCTATCAGTAATTTAGATTTCATCACGGAATATTTAGATTTGTTATAACTCAGTATAATTATAATTAAATCAACATAGGATGTTGATAAAAGAATAAATAAAATGTTAAATATATATGGAGGTATTTTATTGAAGTTCCACATAATATCATATGAATTTCTTCTCCAAAAATATAAACTAATGAACCATATTATTGTATACAATGTATCTTTTATATTGCAAAAATAATAATTAAATGTGCTATTATATATTTTAAGCATATATAACTCTACTATTTTGTGTTTTTTTTTTATGGAATAAAAAATTTTCTTAAAAAAAAATTTCTTAATCAATTTTTTATATTCGAAGTCATCATATTCTATAGTTATCGAATTAATATTCCTACTTATTTTAGTAAAATTAAATAAATTTAAAAAATTCCTTTTTTTAATCTTTTTTAACTGGTATATATTCATGAAATAAATACAGTTTATTGCTATTAATACTATTTTTATTATAAAACCTATTATTAAACATGTTATCCCATTTGTAAAATTGATATTCTCTTTAGAACTTTTTAGCAATTTTATTAAATATAGTCCATTAAGAAAAATAAGAAAATATTTAAAAATACTTTTCACTAAAAAAAATAAGTCTTTTAAAGAAAATAAACCATTTTTCATTTTGTCTTATTTAAATATATACATTTTAAAGAAAAGAGCAATTCTATTTAGGAATAAAAAAAAAAAAAAAAAAAATTTTAAGTATATAAAAATATATATTTTTTTTAATTTATTTTTAGTATCTATTTTTTTTAATTTATTTTTAGTATCTATTTCATTTAATTTATTTTTAGTATCTATTTTTTTTAATTTATTTTTAGTATCTATTTCTTTTAATTTATTTTTAGTATCTATTTCTTTTAATTTATTTTTAGTATCTATTTTTTTTAATTTATTTTTATTTATAGTTTAGAAATATTTTTTTTTATGTATTAAATATAATTTTATATTTTTACTTAAATAGTCATTTCACAATAATTTCATACATTTATAAGCTTATATTATTTTTTATATACAACCATATTTTTTAGTACAGTCCTTATTTTATATATACATAGATATTATTTTTTTTTTATGCTTATGATTAGGTTTTATTTCTAAATCAATAATAGATTCATTTTGTTTATATTTTTTTTAATTTTTTTTTTAAATATCTTAAGTTTCCCTTTTTATGACGTTGTTTTCTATTTATGAATTTATAAACAATTTTTTTAGATGTATGAATTAATACAAAAATGATAAATATAAAACATAAATATACAAAAAAAAAAAAAAAAAAAAGATATATATATATATATATTAATAGAATTAAAAAAATTAATTTAAATATAAATTTATATTTTATAAAAATTAAATTTTTAATTTGAACAAAATAATAATACAATATAAATATGTAATTATTATTAGCTATAAATTATATACATAAGTAAATACCCTAGATAAAAATAGGATAGTTATATAAAAAAAATATCCATATATAAAATGATAACAAAGAAGAAGAAAATATTAATATAGTAATAATTTATTGCAACAAATTTTTATTTTTATTAAATAGAATTATAATAAATATAATATGATTTATTTAATAAATTACTAAGTATAGAATAAATAATATGCAATTCATAACCTTTTACAAAAAAAAGAAAGTTATAAATTTTTATAAATATCAAATACTACCTAATAAGCTATATATATATATATATTTATTTATTTATTTATTTCCTAAAAGAAAAAAGTAAGGATAAAAGAATCAAGTACAAGCTGCAGGAAAAGACATTACAAAAATAAAAAATAAAAAGAAAATAATGTCAAAAATAAATATATAACTAAATTTTTGTATATTATGCACTACAAAATTAATATTATTTAATTCTCTTTCTCTCAGATAATAATAAATATAATAATTTAAAATAGAAAAATTAAAGTTACTTTTATAAGAAAAATATCTTAATATATATATATATATATATGTCTCATGTATAAAAGCTATTATTTTTTTAAAAATATATTAAAAATTTAATTTTTCTTATAATGTTAATTTACATTAATATTAATAATTAATTATTTTAGATCCTATTAACGAATTTATTTATAGTTATATTTTTTTTTTATAATAAGTATATAATATATTAAGCTTAATGGTAACAAAAAATTATTGTGTGTATGCTAAAAGATTTTTTTTGTTGCTTACTTTTTTTTTTTAAATATAATGTTTCTCTTTTTATTATAATAGTATCAAAAAAAAGAAAAAAAAAATATACATTAATAAAAGATATAGAATTCTTTGCTAAATTATATATTATATTTAAGGATAACATATATAGAATCATTTCAAATTAGACTTATAAAGTTCAAATAAATTTTTATATATCTCCAGGTTCTTTAAATTTCGCATTACTTTTTTATTTTTATGGCAGTATAAACAATTGATAATCAATAGTTTATTCGGTTCAAAATTAATACTAATATATAAGAAAAAAATGTATAATAATACATTTAATTAAATTTATATATTTATTCTTTTTTTTTTTCATGTTAATTATATACATAAATTGCAAAAAGTTTTTGATTTTAAACTTAAGGAGATTCTTCATATATACATAGTATTGATTGCAAAAAAATACATATTTTTTTACGAGAGAAAAAAAAAATTATAAAATATTCTTATATTTATAAATCTTATGATTTTATTTAACATTTAATTTAAAATTTTGTTTTTATATTCTTTCTTTTTTCCTTTTTTTTTTTTTTTTTTTTGCGACCAAAAAATATTTGCTTTTTCATAAAGCGATTAATAACAAAATTCAAAATATAAAAAAATTTTAACAAAAAATGTCTTTATTTAGTACTCCATCTATTTGATTCTGATTATTTTTCTTTTTTCATAAAGTTTCTTTTGTATTTCATTTATGGTTTCTTTTTCTCTTTAAAATTTAATGTTGTATTAAAATATAATAAAAATATGAAGAACGTAAATTTATGATTAAAAAAAGGAAAATAATTGGACCAATAAAAATGAGTAGATATTTTTATAAAATAAATTTTGGGAAATGTTATTTTTTATTTTTATATTTCTAAATTAAGTTATAAAAATATTGTTTAATTGTTTCAATATACATAAAAAATTTAAAAGTATCATATTAGCTATAAAAAAATTAAGGAATATCTTTTTTCATTATTAAAGATATGAAAATTAAAAAAATAGTAATCCGAATAAATAAGATAAATATATAAATAACGTATATAATAGAAAAAAATATTCTGCTAATTTTATATTTTTTTGAATTTGTTGTAAGTAAAAAAACAAAATTTCATATTAAAGCAAAAATCATAAATATAGCAGTGCATTTTTTAATTGTTGTAATAAGTATAAAGAAAATAATTTCTTTGAATATATGCAATTTTTTTTTTTTTTTTTTTTGCATGAAGGAAAAAACAATTTTAAAAAGTGCATTTATTTAATTGCTATTTGTAACTATACTTATATTTATATTAACTTTTATAATAAAATAAAAATACAATATTAAAAATTTAAGAAAAAAATAAAGATATTTAACAAAAAAAAATTATTTTGTTAGATAATTTTATTTTATTTTTTTTTTTTTACTATGAAAAACTAAAAAAAAAAAAAAAAAAAAAAAAAAAAAAAAAAAAAAATTTAGTGAGTAAATATAAATAAAAATTTTAAATGAAAATTTTTTTTTCATTAATTTTTTGTATTAAGATAATTTAACATAAAAAAAAAAAAAAAATAAAAAAAAGTAAACCAATACTATTAATATTCATAATTTAAATTATATTTATTTTACTATATTCAATATGATTATATTAATATATTTATTTAAATAACATTTTTTTTATATAGTAATGAAAATGAATTCTTTTGAGGTATTTTATTGATACATATATCCTTTTTCATATATATATATAAATATATATATATTATTAAAAAAATAAATTTTGGGATTTGCTTTATTTTGTATGTTACATTTTCATTTATGATAATAAAGATGAGAAGTTTTTAAGTTTGTCTCCTTTTTTTTTATAATTTATAAAAACATTTAGTGATTTGCTAAAATAATTGATATTTTTATTTGTAAAATGATAACATATTACTAGTTGGAAACATTATTGTTTCATAAATTTACAACAAATTTATATTATATGGAATCTAATTTTGCTTTTTCAAAAAAAAAAAAAAAAAAAAAAAAAAAAAATAGTATTTGTGTTAACATATTAATAAATTTAATATTTTTTAATTTTTTGTTATGTATTTTTAAATTTATTAATTGTTAAAATGTTCAATCTAAGCAAATCATATTTATTAAGATGGAACACATCATGGACATATAAGTAAAGAAAAAATTTAATAAATTTATATATATTATTTTTTTAAATTTGTTTTATAAAATAATGTTTTGAATGTATTTTAAGTATAAATTACAATGTATTATATTTTTAATTTATTCTTTTATTGTATATTTTATAATGCATAAATTTAATTTCACATTAATATATATTCATGAAAATGTTTTTTAACTTTGAATATTAGAGAAAATTTATTTTATTTTTATTTTTTTTTTTGCTATTATAATTATTAATATAGATTAAAGAGATATCATATGTCCCCAAGATGGAATGTTAGTAAATGGTTGGTAAAAGAAGAATATAAATCTCAAAAGTTTAGTAAACCATTTCATTTAACAAAATGGGGAAACTTTAAAACTTACCAACATCAATATTCTTCAAATGGAGCATTTAATAAATTTTGTGATATGAAAAAATTACATGAACAAAACATTAATTTGAAAAAATAAAATTCAATATTTTTAATTTGTTTTTAACATAAGCAATTTTTCGTTTATTATATTAACCATATATATATTAAACACAATCCTAAAAATAATATATATATATAGTTTACATTTCAATTTGTTACATTTTTATTTTGTATTCTTCTGAATAATTATTTTTTATCTTTTTATATATTTTTCACGGATTTTGTATTTTTTCTTTTATTTTTATATAGTTTTACATTTTTATTATCCTATTTCCAGTTTACATTTTTCATTGCCTCTACCTTTTTTTTTCATTTATATATATATTTTTTTTTTAATTAAAATATTTTTTCTAATAAATTTAATAAAATATTAAAATAATAAGGCAGTTCATTTATTAAATTTAAAGGAATACACATATAATCGAAGCTATAAATTGTTTTATTAATAATTTCATTAAATTCAGTGGAAGATTGCTTATTTAATTTGGGGACCTACAAAAAAAAAAAAAATAAAATAAATAAATAATAAAAATAATTATGAAAAATGAATATTTATTTATTAATTATTTCTTCTTTTAAAAAAAAAAAAAAAACATGATCATGTTTCTTGTGTTATTTTTCTTTAGTCTTATTTTATTTTTTTTTTTTTAATTATAAATTAATAGTTTTGTCATATATTTTTTTTATAACAATTTTTTATACTTTATTAAATTAAAAATATTTCTTTATTTTCTATCCTTAAATTTCATTATAATTTTTTTTTATTTTTTTTTCTTTTGATATATAGAAAATTATAATTGATATAAGATTTAGCTCCTATCATTATTCCTTATTCATTTTCTTCGTAAATTACATATAAAAAATGCTATTTATTATAATAATTTGTTTTTCTTATTTTTTTTAATGATTTAAAATTAGTAGAATTTGTCTGATTTTAATCTTTTTTATAATTTATTTTGTTTTTTGTCAGTTAAATATCTAACATTGTTTATTCCATATCTTTTTTAAATTAACCATATTTACGTTTCATTTTTTTAATTATTAATAGGTATTTTATTAAATACATTTGATATATGGTTTTGTTATCCTTTTTTTAAAATAGGATGTATATTATAAATTTTTTGTTGTATTTTTTTACTTTAATTTTCTTGAAAGCTCATGAATTTTAAAATAATTTTAGTTTTTGTTAATTTATGCATTTTTATTATTATTATTATTATTATTTTTTTTTTTTTTTTTATTTTAAATTGTTACCTTTGGATATCTTTGGCTAAAATGTGTTAATATTAATGTTTTACATTTAACTTCCAAACCTATATATAAATTTATATATTTATTTATTTTTAAATGTATAAAGGATATATAGTAAAATTAAGTATTTCATTATTATTATTTATATTTGGAGTGTTATTTTACTTATTTGCATTGCTTCGTGTGTAGTTGAATGCTTTTTTTGAATAGCTTCATTTAACAATTCATCATCAAATGTGGCTGAATATTTTTTAAAAAGAAATAATTTATTTTATGATATATTTATATATATATATATATAAGAATTATTTTAGTTTGTTTTTTTCTTGTTTAATTTTGAATTAGTATATTTTTAATTAAACTGTTCTTATTTTTATATTGATTAAGAACTTTTTTAAAAAATAATTATTTAAATAAAAAACTAATATAATTGAAAATAAGTTTTTTTTTAATACCTTCATGAATTAAAATATCACAACCTTTAGAGAATTTCTTGATGTTATTACATGGTCGTGTATCAGCTGAATATACAATTGAGCCAATATCTTTGTGTTCAATTTTTACACCATAAGATTCATTAATATGATTAACCTAAAAAATGAAATGAATTAAATCATTTTATTATTTTTAACTCTTTATAAAATCTACTTTAAAACGCATAGAATGTAACTTTTAATTATATTGGGAGAATTAAATAATATATTTAACTGTACCTTAAAAAGATTTAGGTTTAAAAAATTTTCTTCACATTTTACTTTTATTTCTAAATTTTCTGAATTATATAAAACTTTTAACGGTATATCAAAAAAAAGCTCGTTTAATAAATTTATCCAACTTTTTAAAGTTATTGGAATTAATACTGTTGGGTAATCTAAATTAGGAAAAAATATCTTCCTTATATATAATAAATAATAAAGACCTGCATGATGATCTGCATGAGAATGTGAAATAAATATAACCCTAAAAAAAAAATACATATATATATATATTAAAAATAAAAATTTATTTTATATAAAAAAAAAAAAAAAAAAAATATATATATATATTCAAAATATTATTTAAAAATAAATAATCAATTTATATAAGCATAAAATTTACTTGATTGATTTAATAATTTCAGAAAAATGAGCCCATGATTTGCTCATCCAATATAGCTGGTATAAAGAACCTTCTCCAAAATCTAAAACAATACTAAAATTTTTTTGAAGATTTAAAATTATACCAGATACATTACGAAAAGTAGAAGGCATTGAACATCCAGTACCAAGAAAATAAAAAGAAGGTACTTCAGAAAAATTAGATAATTTTGTTTTATTAAAATCTTCAAATGTTTTTATTAGGTCTTCATTTTCTTTTAAAACTTTTGATATTTTTGAGGAATTAAAAATATTCGGATATAAATCAGATAACATCTCATTAGTGCAGATGTTTATCTTATGAAAAGGGTGTAAAACAAATTTTGTTAACGGATTATATAAAAGATAAGAATTATTTTCTTCATCTATTATTTCACTTTTTTTGTTTGAAAATTCACTTGTATTATTTAAAATAGTGCTTTTTTGTATAATATTTTCATTTTTGCACATACTTATATTTTCTATTTCATCTTTTTCATTTTCATAGGAATTTCCTATCATGTCTTGATTTTTTTTTTCTTTATCATTTGGAAATAAATAGGACAAATTATATGTGGGTGTATCAGGTTTATACTTTAAAAAAATATTTGGTAATAATGTAGAAAGAAAGCTGTTTAAGGAAGAAGAGGAAATAAAAGGACATACGTTTAATGAGTTATTAGACTGATTGCATTTAATATTCTTTACATTTTTTAAACTTAAAAAAAAATCCTTATATTTTTTGCAATTGGTAATTTTATCACAGGATAGATGAAAAATGTACTCTAAATTTTTTAAATAAAAATCTTTTTTATTTGTGATTTCATTAATTAAACAGTCCAGATCTTCATCATTTAATAAATCAATAATTAATGATTTTCTTCCATCTATATTTTTGTCACAAACATCTTCAGGTTTTATTATTTTATTATTTATTGTAATAGATTTTCCTGATTTTAATATACCATAATATTTTCCAGATGGAATATTTAAACTTTTAGCTTTTTCTGGATGAAATTTTCCTAAAGTTTCAGGACATTCAATTAAATAACAAATACTATTAAATGCTACATTATTATTTTCTTTTTTATATTCGTTTTCACTTAAAGTTTTATTTTCATTTTTTTCTTCATGTTTATTTTCATATTTTGCCACATTTTCATTTTGATCTTCATCTTCATAATTTTCATTCAGTTTCCTTTTTTTAAAGTTATTCAAATAATTTTCTACGAATTCATCTTTTTTCATAATTTTATTTTCATTTGTATTTACATGGTCAATTATATTATTTGATACATTTACATTTGCATTTAGAGGAGTTTTCTTTTCATTGAGCATAATTGGGGTTATTATTACGTCTCCTTTTAAAATAATTGGTGATATATAATTAGAAATTTCATATACTTTAATTCTAATATTTTTCAATTTTGCAAAAGTGGAAGTAAAATTGTCAATGATTCTTTCTAATGGTTTTGGTCCATAAATACTAATCAAATTATCCGATATATTATCTATTGTTAATAATAATCCTATTAAACCTCCAATAGTTTCAGGATTAATTTTTGTAAAGAATATATTTTTTATTTTCACTAGGTGTAATTTATGCTCATTTAGAAATCTTTGACTATTTTCACCACAATTAAAAAGGGTAACATTTCCATTCACGAATAATCGTAAACTTGATGGTATTGCTAATTTATGCCATCCTATTAATTGAATATATACTTCCATATTTTTTTTTTTTTTTTTAAATCTATCAATAATATATATATATATGTTTTATTCTATTAGGTTAATAATTTTTAACATATTTTGACTTAAAAAAATTGCCTTCTTTTTCTGATAGTATTCATATATAAATAATTTTATAAAATAAAAAGAATAATATATTTCTTAAAATAAAAATTTGTTCAAGGTTGAGATGTTTTACATTTCATAAATATTAATTCTATAAATTATGAAGTATTATAAATGGTAAAATATTTATGAATTTCATAAAAATAAAAATTAACACATTTAAAAAATTAAAATATATAACATTTTAAAAAAAATTAAAAATAATATATATATATATATATATAAAAGGGAATGAATTCCTTATTATATTTTAATTTACAATATTTATCTTAATATTTCTAAAAAAAATATTAAAGAAATAAAATTACATTTTTGTAATGAATAAATATATAACAAGTTATTAATCTTCTAAAATATAAATTTATTTTAAATTGTAACTAAAAAAAGTCAAATTTAAATAAATAAAATTACAACTTTAATATATATTCTAAGGATTTAAAAAAGAAAGTAAACATACAAACAAAAAATGTAAAATTCAATTATATGTAAAGGAAATTTTCTATACTTTTAAATAATATATTTACTTCTACAACAAAAAAAAAAAAAAAAAAAGGAAAAAGCAGAATATTTACTAGATATGAAAAGATAGAATGATCTATAAAAAAAAAAAAAAAAAAAAAAAAAAAATATATATTTTGTATTTGTTTTTAAAAAGTGTGATATAGTTAATTTATTTGAAAGAAAAAAAAAAAAAAAAAAATTTCAAATGTTTTCAAAAAATCACACAAAAGACTACAAATTTTTTTTTTTTTTAATTTAAAAAAATATATCTAAAAGAAAATATAAAGATATACAGAATATATATTCTGAATAAATAAACAATACACGAAAAAAAAAAAAAAAAAGAAATAGGGAGAAAAACGAAAATTTTATTTTTTCAAATATAATATAAAATAAATGGAATGTGAATATGAAAAGAAAAAAAGTTTTTATGAAATAGTATTAACAATAAAAAAAAAAATTGAAAAATATGATTTGAGTAAATGGGAGAATATAATAAAACCAGAAGATGTATCATACAATGATTACTTTGAAAAACTAGTAAAAGAATCAAATACAGAATGTGATGATAAAGAAATTAAAATAAATGAAAGAAATGTAAACATTGAAAATGAAAATAAAAAAAATACATATGAAATAAATAAAGATTTTTTTGATAATCTAAGCAATAGAGACAAATTTTATTTTTTATTAAGTATAAAAGATACAATGGAAACTAGTTGGCTACTAGCTCAAAAAAGATTAGAAGGAATAAAATTAGAAGAGAATTCTGAATTCATAAATGTTCAAGAACTATTAAATTACTCAAAAAAATTATCAGATACAACTTGTGCTCCACCTGAATGTGATAATATCAATGATAAAATAATTCATCAAGAATATTATCCTAATTATCATTTTTTAAATTTTGTGAATATTGAAGAAATTCATTTATCTAAATTATTTCAATTGCAAAAATATAGTACTGTTTGTTTTCCTCCTATAATTACTATAGAAGAAAATGATAATTTGTTAATTGTTAGTATTACTTGTTCTACTCCTACTACTACAATTTTTTATAAAATAAACGAGGAAATACAGGAGAAAATTTATGATTCTGATAATAAACCTAAAATACCTAAAAGACAAAAAATAAATATATACGCTTGGTCAGTTAAAGAAGGTTTCATAAAATCAAGAGTTTCTTGTTTTTCTAAAACTTACAATGTTAAAGAAGATAATTCGCAAAACTTATTAGATAATGAAGCTTCTCAATTTTTTCCGGACTCTTTTAAATCTGACAAAACTGAAAATGAAAATATTATGAATAAGCAATCTTCAAATACAAATGTATTTAAAAATCTTGGTTTTTTATTAAGTAGAAAAAAAGAAAAAAAGTTGGAAACATCATCAAATGAAGAATCATTCTCAAGTAACGAAGAAGAATAAAAAATTAAAGGATATAATAGAAGGTTAATGAAAATAAAAAAAAAAAAAAAAAAAAAAAAAAAGGATTATATTTAAACATAAAATGAAAACATTGAAAAAATTGCAAATTTAATTACATATATAAATAGATACATAACCAGATAGAAAAATAATTTAAGATATGAAAAAAATAAATTATAAAGGAAAATATTATGTATTTTTATCATTTCATTTCGCAAACATATGAGCAAAATTACATAGAATATTATAAGTATTTGTTTTGTTTTATTTTTACCATTAATATTATATTAAAAAAATATAATTATTTAATTTTATACTATTTTTTTTTTTTTTTTTTTTTTTATATAATATCTGTTTAAATTAAAAAGAGTAATTTTCATTAGAAATATATAAACGCGTATTATTTTTTTATATCAATTAAACTAAAAAATAAAAAAAAAAAAAAAGATAAATACAAGTTCACACACTAAGCTTCTATTTTATTTCACTTTTGTTTATTTTTTATTATTTTTTTTTTCTTCTCAAATTTAATATAAATTATGATAAAAATTTATATAACTAATATTTAAGTGTTCATTTAATTTTTCCATTCTCTTTACATCTTTCTCAATATTATATTTCACTATCACAAATTTTTCAAAAAAATACCTTTTATTTGTTCAGGAGAATAATCCAATTTCATTTTATCACTATATAATTCATATATTTTCATATATTCTTTATGTATATTATGAAAGATCAATGACTTAATATTTTTTTTAAGTTCATTAGATTCTATTTTATTTAATATATTAAAATCGTAATGTTCAGTAAAAACGAATTTATAAAAATTTTCAATAAAAATTCTTACTTCATCAGCATTATTTTCATTTAGTTTGTCTATTTTATCTATTTTCAAGTAATTTATTAAATTAGAAGACTCTATTTCTAAAATTTTTTCGCATTTTTCATTAATAATTATCGTTAGTAATTCACAATATTTAGAGGAACCTTCAAAATCTTTAATACTTTCTTGTATAAAAGAAAATATATTTATGATAAATATGTAATCACTTTCAATATTTTTATTTTTATTTTTTAAAAAATTATTTATTAATGGGTTTATTGTGATATCAAGCACGTTCTGAAAATCCTGTTCGTTACTTTTTCCACATAAAGAGCTATTTTTGTATATTGTATATATATTATTTAGAGAATTGAAAATTTTTTTAATATAAAATAATGTATCATTAAAATAATCAGAATCTTCTCTTTTGGTTATCTTACTTAAATAGAACGTTATAACATTTTGTTGCCATAATGTAATGAATTCATTTTCTATTTTCTTTTGTATGTTCAAGGTGTAATTTAATAATTTACAATTATACTTCTCAAATGGATCCATTTTATTATTTAATCCATATTTATAGCTTATCTCTATTTTAGCACTTCTATCATCATCATTTGCATCATTTATATTTTTATTAGAACATTCTACATTAGGTTTATTATATTCAAATAAATTGTGATCGTTCTGAGTATTATTTCTTTCTTCATATAACTCTTCTTTTTCTACAGTATCAATTATATTAAATTCTTTTTTTTCATAATTTTCATTTTTTTTATCTATAGAATTTTCATCGAAGTTTCCTATTTTATTATTAATTGTATTTTTATAGTCTATCTCCTCTTTATTTTTATTTAATATAATTTCATTTTGAAACTTTTTTTGTACAACATCTACTATATTATTAGAAATATCACATAAAAAGGAACTACTACTTTTTTCTATAGTTAATTCATAACTTTGAAAAAAAGAGTTGTTACTTTTTAAATTTTCTATTATGTTTCTACTACCATTTCTATTTTTATCACTATTATAAAGAATATTTTTGTTGGAATCTTCTTGGATTATTTCTTTTATAACATTATTTATTTCATAGTTTTTTTGAAATTGTCTTAATTTAAAAATAAATATATCTAACACTTGAAATAATTCATAACAAGATTCATAACGTTTTGGATAAATATTTAGATTTGTATCTAGAAAATTTTTATATGGAATTAGTAATACATCAATTATATTGAATAGAATATTATGAGTATTTTCTAAATTTATAGATATATATGAAACAGTTTTGTTTGTATAATAAAAATTAAATGAGAAAAGTATTTTAAAAAAATTATCTTCTAATGTTATCAAATAATAAAAAATAGAAAAGAAATTTTTAAAAATTTGTATTGAATCATCTTTTACATCTATTTCTATTAATTTTTTTTTATTTATTGATTTGTAGTTATTAGAAATTAAATCTTGATAATTTTTTTTTAACAATTTTTTTCTAAAATGAATAAAATTACTTATACATGTATTGAAATATTCTATGCTTTCAATAATAATTTTGTAACACAATTTTGTTATTGGAGAAATTTTTTCTATATAATTTTTTATTATTATGCTTCTTTTCTCTTTTTCGTCAAAAACTGTGCATAATAATAAATCAATAATTTGATTAGTTCTTTTATAAAAATTATTGTTTTCTTTTATTATATATGAGCACATTTTTTTACACGCAGCATTCATTATTTTATTATAATATTTGGAATAAAACTTAGTTAATTTTTCTGATGAATCTTCATTTAATAATTTTATTATGTTATCTTTAGTATATTCAAACTGTTTTAAATATTCAAAAAATTCTATATTTAATGATATTTTTAAGTCTATTAAATTATTAATACATAAGGGACTTAAACTGTATTTCTGTAAAATCATATTATATATATTTTCCTTTTTCTTAATATTATATTTTTCTTTTTTTAACTTTTTTATTTCATCTATTATTTCATTAGTCAAATTACTACTTTCTACAATTTTGTCTTTTGTCTTTTTATCTAATTCATTAATTTTTTTTAAATTGCTCCCAATATTTTCAAAATATGTAAAGCAGTAGCAAGTTTTTTCAATCATATCTTCATAATTATTTAATTCACTCAATTCATAGTCATATTCATTATATAATACATCATATTTATTGAATGTGTTTTTGTGAATTTTAATATTATGTAACTCATTAAAAATTAAATTTGAATCTATGTTTTCATCAAAGTTTACATCAATCGGTATTTCCATAATGATACATTTTATTCAAAAAAAAAATTTTCTTATAAATGAGTTTTAATTTTTATTTTTACTATGAATTATTATTAAATAAGAAAAAAATAAAACATCAAATAAAAATCATACAATTTTTTTTCTTAAAATGTATGGATAATTAAAAACATATAAACATATAAATATAATTACGAAAAATTAAATTTAACAAAAAAAAATAAGTATTATAAGTATTCCTAAGTTAATATCTAAAATCTTTTATATTACAATTTTTTTTTTTTTTACTAAAAAAAAAATAAAATAAAATTTACATTGGAAAAAAAAAAAAAAAAATAAAATTACAATATCCAAAAATAAAAGTAGTTGAATTATACTTAAAAGGAGTTAACACAAAATGAATAATTAAAAAAAAAAAAAAAAAAAAAAAAATACATGCATATAAACCTATATTCTTAAAACTTCTGTATTATAGGTGGCAGATTGTCATTTAATTTTTTTATATATTTCCCATTCATAAATGTGTGAATATTTGATCTGAGACTAGTTAAAAATTAAATAGAATACTAAAAAAAATTAAATTTAAATAAATAAATATACATATACGTATATATAATAACAATATGTTTTAATATAATATAAAAATAAGAATTGAATATAATAATATTAGGAAGTGTTAAGGTATAAATAATATTTAAATAAAATAGTTAAGATTTATATTATTAAAATATTAATATTTTAAAAGTCCACTTGTTATATATGAGAATTAGCAATTAAATATAAATAAAAAAAAAAAAAATTAAAAAAAAAAAAAAAAAATAGAAAAAAAAAATTTTAAATTATTTTTAATATTTTAGTGAAAATGTGATGGATATAAAACAGTTTTAGGCACTGATAAAGGATCTCCTTTATTAATAATAAATTTATGTCCCTCAAGTTTCAGTTTTTCAAAGCATTCTTTTTTACATTGAACATCTAACCAACGACATTCTTTACATCTAGTCTTTGGATAAATAAAAAAAAGTTTTCCATGCCATGTGAAATCTCTTTTTCTTCCATCTAAATGTCCATAAGCATATGGTTTAGGGCAAGGTGGTTTCATTGTAAAATGAATTTGAGCATGATACCACAAATATACACAGGCTCCAAATAATAAATATACATGAAATTTTAAAAAAATCATTAGTTTTCTTTCGTATTCAGTTAACATTACTGTAGATAATCTAGTATATGGATCTAAATCAAGAATCCATTCTTTTCTATTATTATATCTTGTTAAAAACCCTGTTATATCTAAATATCTATAAATCTTTTGTCCAATTGTTTCGGGCTGATTCTTATCAAAAAATATAAGAACATTTGAATTATCCACAATAGATAAATTTTTTGAACATTCAGAAGATACATTTTTAGTAGTTTGTCCTGATGTGATATTTGATTGAATAGATGATGTAGAAAAACATTTTCTTAAATTTATTTTTAATATTTGATTATTTTTATTTAAGAAAGAATAAGAGTTCTGATTGATAATATTAGTACTTAAATTGTGAATTCCTGTACTATATTTTCTTAATATTTCATTACCACATACTTCATATATATTTATTAAATTACTAAAGGCACTATTTCTATCACTTTTCAAACATTTTAATAATACATTTCTTCCGCTTTTACTTAACATTTTCTTATTTTTTATCTTTTTATTTTATCTTTTCATATATTTATAATTTTACCTTTTTTTTTTTTTATTTTTTCTTATTTTTTTTGCATTATTAATACAACATAATAATACATGATAAAATCAAGTAAAATAAAGTATTATTCATAAATATTATATAAATATATATATTTTTTAAAATAAAAAATAAAATAAAAAAATAAAAATATAGAAAATATATATAATCATAAAATTTTTAAAAGCGAAAAAGAAAAAGTAATGTTGAAAAAAGTTTCTTGTAAAAAATTATTGCAAAAATTTAATAAATGCTAAAACCTTTTCGTACTATTGTTAAATATTTAAAATATATACCATGCACACAAAAATATACTAAAAAAAACGAGAATAAAATCCCTCAACAAAAAAAAAAGTATTAAATAAAATAAAATACATAATTCATAAAATTTATAAAAAGAAAATTTTGTAATACTTCTATTTTTTATAATTGTTTGTATGAATTAATGAACAATTAAAATGAAAAAAAAAAAAAAAAAAAAAATATAATTTCTTTTGGAAGGATTTGTAAGATTTTCAATAAATTCAAACTATTTAATTAAATTACTTTTATTAATAAAAATTATTTTTTCTAAGGTACTAGTTTTATTAAGTAAAAATTATAAAAAAAATTTAATTAAATTTTTCTGTGTCATAAAAAAAAAAAAAAAAAAAAAAAATTTTAAATAGATAAAAAATACGTTTATTATTAATGTAATATATATACTTAAAAAAGAAATAATATTTTTTATGTTATTTTTTTTATTAAAAACAAAAGAAAAACGCTACTAAATTTTGATACGTAAAAATTAAAAGTTATATTAACTTTTAAACAATAGGAAATATGAAAAAAAATTTTGCTTTATTTCTTTAAAAAATAAAAAAACCAAGTGGAGATTTATTAAATAGTAATTTATGTTTGAATAAAAGGAAAATAACAAAATAAATAAAACTAGTTTAAAAAACTTCACTCTTTTTTAGTATGAAATTATTATATATATATTTTTTAACTACTTTTAATTTATTTTTATTATTTATAAATTGGATGTATTATGTAAATCAGCAGTTATACGCACAATTCTAATTAATGTTAGAAATATAACTGTAATCCAAATAAGAATAAAAAAGAATTTTAATAAATGAATGAAATCAAAAAAACCATTTTACATTTAAATATACATACCCACATTATTTTTATTAAGTCTAACATTATCCGTTTTTATTTCATGATATAAAATTTCGACTGATATTTTTTACTATAATACAAAATTAATAACAAAATGAAAGAGAACCATTTAAAAATAAACATAAAATTCATATAATTATTTAAATTAGGGTTCTCTTGAAATTTATTTTTTGATTGTCTTATGTTTTCTTAAAAAATTTTATTTAAAAAAAATTCATTATATTTAAAGATTTGATCTCAAGTTGCTTTATTGTTATATGTATAAAATTAATAATTACATATATATATATATATATATATAGATATAGATATAGATAGAGAGAGAGAGTGTTAAATGATAAAGGAACAATTGAAATAAAAATTGTTAAATTAAAAAAAGGATAAAAAACTATTAAGTAATTGGAGAATTTTACATTAAATATATTTATAAATGTCAGTAATTTCTTTTTAAAATGAAAATTTGTACTTTACATATTTTATTAAATTATATTTGAATACCTATGAAACATCTATAACCTATAAAATATATTAAAAAAAAAAAATATACTAAGAAAATAAAATGTTAAAAAATATTTAAATAATAATACTTAAACATTTAAAAATAAAATTTTGTGGTAATTTGTATATATGAATTTCTGTTAATAAAAAAAAAAAAAATTTAATTTTATTTTTATTTACAACAAATGTTTTTAAATATTTTTTCTTTAATCAAAATGGTCTATCTTAAATCAATTTGCATTTCTTGAAAAAAGTATCTTTTATTTTATAAAATATTAATCTGAATTTTTTTTTTTTTTTTTTTTTTTTGTTCCATGAATACTAAAATATTTTTTCATTTATGATATAATTTTTTAATTGTAACATATCATGTTATAATTCATAAAAAATAAATATGTGTACATTAATTAATAGAATTCATGCGATTAATATTTTTTTAAGAAAACATATATAATTTATTATATGAAATTATAAATAATATTTTACGAACTAAATTAAAATGCTTATTACAAAAGCATAAAAGCTTTATATTAAATAAAAATATAAATAATATTTTTATAAATAAAAATATAAATTTTTTTTTAAATAAAATTATCAATAAAATTTTAATAATAAAAGTACCAAAATCATTTTTTTAATAAAAATATAACTATATTTTTATTACTTGAAATATTAATACTAATTTTTTTTTTTTTTTAAATTTAAAAATTCATAAATACATATGAATTCGAAATTTTGCTTGATGAACAAATTAAAAAAATGATACTTCTACGGAATATTATATTACTGGATTTGAAGAGGAGTAATATGTTAAATGTAAATAATTACCAAAAAATAAAATATATATTAAATAATAGAAGATTTTTTACTATACTAAAAAATGAGAGACTAGATAGATTAAAAAGAGAAATTCGCTATAAGCCAAATGATAATTTTTTAATATTACAATTTTATAAAGAAGCAAATGTGCATAACCCAAATGAAGTTATAAAGCACTATGAAAACACTAATTACATAAAAAATGAAAGTATTACAAAAGAATATATAAAAGCATTAGTTTATACAAATAAGTTAAAATATACAAATCTTGATAATATAAAATATAATAGTGATAATATGTCTAATAGAAGAAACATTGAAGAAGTAAACATAAATCAAATGAATGATGAACGTTCAAATAATTATGACTCAAAAAATTTAAATATAGATCAACCTTACAATAATTTATCTCATTCAACAAATAAAACAGATTATATAGAAAAAAAAAAAAACCCTTCAAGCGAAGTTTACAGTTTGCAAATAGATCCGAAGAAACCTTTAAAAGTATCTGTAATAGAAGGAAATAAAAAAGGGTTATGGAATTTATTTAAATCAACAATTGGATTTCTAATACTAGTAGCAGCAGCAAGTGTATATTTAGAAGGAGTTTCACAAAATGTACAGAAAGGAATAGGAGTAGTAAATAAAAAAATAATCCCAGTAGAAAATGTTAAGGTGACCTTTGCAGATGTAAAGGGATGTGATGAAGTAAAAGAAGAATTAGAGGAAATAATTGATTATTTAAAAAATTCAGAGAAATTTACAAAAATTGGTGCTAAATTACCTAAGGGAATTTTATTATCAGGAGAACCAGGAACAGGAAAAACATTAATTGCGAGAGCTATCGCAGGAGAAGCTAATGTTCCATTTCTTCAAGCATCAGGATCAGAGTTTGAAGAAATGTTTGTTGGAGTTGGAGCAAGAAGAATTAGAGAGCTTTTTCAAGCTGCCAAGAAACATGCCCCATGTATTGTATTTATTGATGAAATAGATGCTGTAGGATCAAAAAGGAGCAATAGAGATAATAGTGCAGTAAGAATGACTCTTAACCAATTATTAGTAGAATTAGATGGTTTTGAACAAAATGAAGGAATTGTTGTAATATGTGCAACAAACTTTCCTCAAAGCTTAGATAAAGCATTAGTGAGACCAGGAAGATTAGATAAAACTATTGTAGTTCCATTACCAGATATAAAAGGAAGATATGAAATTTTAAAAATGTATAGTAGTAAAATTTTATTATCGGATGATGTAGATTTACATGTTTTATCTAGGAGAACAGTTGGTATGACTGGTGCAGATTTAAATAATATTCTTAATATAGCAGCTATAAAATGTTCTGTAGAAGGAAAAAAGTCAGTAGATATGAATTCTATTGAACAAGCTTTTGATAGAGTTGTTGTAGGACTTCAAAGAAAATCTCCATTGAATGAAGAAGAAAAAAATATTACAGCCTATCATGAAGGTGGTCATACTTTAGTTAATATTTACACAAAAGGATCTGACCCTGTTCATAAAGCAACTATTATGCCGAGAGGAATGTCATTAGGAGTCACATGGAAAATTCCAATTAATGATAAATATAGTCAGAAAATTAAGGATGTACAAAGTGAAATAGATGTATTAATGGGTGGTTTAGTCTCCGAAGAAATTATTTTTGGAAAAAATAATGTTACAACTGGTTGCTCTAGCGATTTGCAAAAAGCTACACACATAGCACAATCTCTTGTTATGAATTATGGTGTTGGTATAAATGAAGAAAATATATCTATGTTTTTGCAAGATAAAAAAAATATTAGTGAAGAAATGAAAATTAAAATAGATAAATCTATTCAGAGAATATTATTAGATTCTTACAATAGAGCTAAAAACGTTTTAAATCAACACATTGATGAATTGCATAGAATTGCTGCAGCTTTAGTTGAATATGAAACCTTAACAAGCGAAGAAATTAAATTAGCTATGCAAGGAAAATGTGATCAAATAAAAAAAAATAGAGAAATGAAGCAAAAAGAGTATAACTTAAAAGACAATAGAATTTCTTAGTTTATATGAAAAAAAAAAAGTACCTGTATATTCATATGAATAATATTATAGAACATATATATATATATTTTTATTTATTTATGAATTTTATTATGTTTTATTATCCTCATCATATAAATTTTTTTTTTTTTTTTATATTATCGTATTTTATTATTTTATTAAATTTATTCTATATTTTAAAATCTTTATTTTATATACATTTTTTTTTTATTTATTTTTAATTTTTGTAAGTTATATGCATATTTTTTTTTTTTTGCAACTTATTGTATTAATAAATTCATATATATATATATATATATATATGTATATATGCTCTTTATTATATTATAACAATGATTTTATTTAATTTCTCTATTTGGTTTTTATTTATATTTTTAATTTTTCTATTATTTTTATTTTGATATCTCGTAATTTATCTTATTTTATTTTATTTTTTTTTTTTTTTTTGAAGACAGTAAATTTATTTAAATATAATCTAGCTTTTAATAAAAAAAAAATAATTAAAATAATTTTTCTATAACATACTTCTTTATTAGCTGGTTCTACTTTTATTCAATTTTAATTATGTAAATTAATAAATATATCATTTCCTTATAAATTAAATATGTTCCTTTTTTATTTTTTTTAATGAAACATATAAGACTTGCTATTTCCTATTTTCACTTTTAAAAATATTTTTTTTCAATTCTTAAATTTTTTTATTTTATTTTTTTTTTTTTTTGTATAATATACAAAGAAAAATTAAAAAAAAAAATACATAAGTGTTTTTTGAAATATGAAATTTTACATTATAAATTACATGGTGATTTAAAATATAAATAAATTTAATTGTAGTAATAAAAATATATATGTATATATATGTATTTACTAGTTTACTTGATAAAAATACACACTTTATAAATAAAATACTTCCCTATTTTCACAAGAACACTATATCCAAAAAAATTAAATTTTTTTTTTCTAGGTATTTTTATAACTACACATTGAATAAAATTTTGAAATTTTCATGTATATATATATATATATATATATGTATAAACATATCTTAAATTATTCTTAACATTTTGTTTTATTATATTATATTAAAAAGACATACCGAAAACTTTTTTTTTAAAAATTCAAAAAGTAAAATTTTTTCTTCTAGTTTAAATAATTACTATATCTTTAAATGTATGTCTTATAATTCTTTTTTTTAAATGTTAATAATTTCCTCTCTAAAAAGTAATAAAGTACGAACAAATTAGTAAATGTTAATAAAAAATTTAGTATAAGTTTAAAACATTGCTTATGTATATTAATTAAAAATACTAATAAAATATTTATAATTTAAATTATTATCAAAAAATTTTTCTAACGCATATTTTGTAAATATTTCTAAGTTAATGTTGTCTGCAATTTTTATTTTTTCCATATATTCTCTTTGTTTGTTATTTAACAAAAATTGATTTAATCCTTAGAAGATATAAAAAAGTTAAATTATGTTATGATAGCAAAAAATTAAATTAAAATGAAGATGTAATACCTAAAATGCACTTATCTTTGGTTATATATTTGTTGTTTTCTAAATTTAGAAAAGCGTACATTGCTTCTATATCATCATTACTAAAAATATTTTTTATTTTTTTCTAATAATAAAGATTTATAAAAAAGTTTATATATATATATATTATATATTCTTAATTAAAAGATATTAAATATATTTTTATTATTATTTTCTCCTTTTTTCTTATCTTTAAAAATTTTGTACTATTTATTTTTTTATTTTTATTTATACTTCTTTTTCTAATTTTTTTAGTTCATTAATAATAGACAATATAATATTTTTAGGCTTTTTGAAATAAATATAACCTAATAATCCCTTTTTAATTGGAATAGTATTAATCATTAAGAAATGAAATAGATAATTTTATATTTTTTTTAATACCTCAAATATTTCCATTAATTTTTTCTTTCTTATGTATTCAATGTTCTCTATATAAATTAAATGGAAAAAAAAAAAAAAAAAAAATTATATTTTTTTTTTGTGTGTTAAATATTAATGAGAAAAATAATATTCAAGAATTTTATTTATTTAAATTACCATTCATCATTTCTATGTTTATATATTAAATTTTATTCAAATTAAAAAAAAAAAATAAATATCTAAATTTTAACTACTTAAAATATATAAACATTAATATATTTCTATTTTCTAAAATATATATCATCTATGTAAAAGTGAAAATTAGTTTTTAAACAATTACAATATATATAAAATATACTTTTTCATAGAAAAAGAAAAATATTTGATTCTGAAATTAAAATTTTTGTTAATAATAAAATATATAATTTATTATGTAAAATTATTGTCTTAAGTATATTTTTATAAGATCTAGGATTTAAAAATGTCTAAAAATGTATTAAAAAAAACTATAAAAAACTTTCTTTTTTACTATTGAAAAAAAGAAAAAAAATAATAAAATTTGAAGTTAATCATATATATATGTATATATTTTCTTTTTTATAATAAAAAAGAAATATAAATATATGAGACTAGCTAATATAAGCAAGTATCTTTATAGAAAAACATATTTAGAAGTTATTTTCCTGTCATTTTTTTTAGCTTTTTAATATTTAAAAAATGAACAAAAACTAAGCGGAAAAATAGTAATAAAAAAGACTTAAATTGTGAAGTAGCAAAATTGCATTCCATAAAAGAATATCGTAATATTTGTCGAAGATTAATAAAGGTAAATAGCACATTTTTTTTTTTTTTTTTTTTTTTTTTTTGAATCCTCATTTTAAATAAACTATAAAAATTATTCAAATTTACTTAAGAAAAAATAATACATTATGTAAATATCATTTAACGAAAATGTCACAAAATGTATAAAGAGTACTAAGGCTTTTTTTTTTCCAATAAGCATTATATTTTTCACTTTTTTTTTTTTTTAACCATAATTGAACAAAATGACAGGATAAGTTTCAGAATAAAAACATGCAAGACTAAAATAAAATAATATTTTTAAGAAAATCTTTGCCAAAAAGAAGAAACTTAAAAATTTAATTTATATATGTTTTATTGTTTACGTTTTTGTTTTATATTTTTATATAAGTTTTTTTTTTTTTTTTTTTTTTTTTTTTTAA